CTTATCACCTTTTTATTGACGTCAGAACAAACTCAAATAATACAGGATTTTATATGGCCACAGAAACTATTTGACAGTTTTCATAATTAGCTGTATAAATAATACTCGTCGAGAATGAATTGTATAACTCGCACTTGAACAATTAGTTGAACATAGAAACTTTTTTTATAGAATACTTTTCAGATAACCAATACAAAAAAATGCACCCAAGAATATCTTTTCCAATCTTGTATAGATAAATTTGATGAGTTCTCACTACCGCACCCGTTGTTGTTTACTCATTGACTACTCTTAATTGATAAAAGTTACTATTCCAACGAGAGCAGCTAGTCGTTCGTCAGCGCTCTCACGGAGCGCCACTCTCGACTAACCACTCCAAAGCCTGCCTCAGTCATTCAGCTTACTATTCGTTTTTATCCACTATGATTGTTAGCCGATCAGTTTACATTTCATCATCCAAGTTTATTTATATAATATAGCAAGAAGGTCTTGATGGTTTAAGCTTTCTTATACGAGCATATGTTTGCTTTAAATTGACTCCTAACCACATTACGGCCAAACTCTTCTGGTCCTTCGACCCACTTAAAATAATGTTTTTTTTACTTTTGAGCATTTTCAAAGAAAAAATGTTTTTCTATCTTTGACGTAATCAAAATCAAGGTCCTTTGATCCCCGTCTCTCATCCCACACCAACAATTACCACCACGACCCCTTCCCTATAGGAGGTGTATCTTCGAGTTCTGAGAACTTCAATAAGTCTTGACTTCTGATCCTGACACACAGACAAACCATTTTTTTCATATGATCCTTCTTTCAATCGAAGGAACAACATTTGTCTGAAAACAGTCTCGATTTTGATAGTATAATTCTTCATTTATACCCAAAGTAAGGAACAATCCCATCGAAATTATCATTCCGATTGAATAATCGATAGCGTCCCTCAACGATCTATACGTTTTTTGTCTAAGGGAAAAAACAGAAGACAATAAATATGATTTTTCGTTTTTCTTGCGCAGTTAGTAAGGTATAATTTCTGATCTGCTTAATTCATGTGCCGGACTCTTCTTCACGTCTCATTTTCCGCCCATCGATGAACGATATTCAATCGAGAAAGATTGGAAAAATATCCATCAATTAACACTAACGCATTCAGGTGTCTCACAAATGATTAATCTATCGTTATCTGATAACGAATATCTACGGGAAAACGAGATGATGTAATATGAGAATATTCACGAGATGCGCGCTCGAACAAAAACCGCAGTTTCACCGCATCAAGAAAATAAGCTAAGCGATACAAACTTTATATTTTGCTTATACTGCATTGTTATATAATGAAAAACATACAGTTGCATAGTCAGTTCATTACACTACATATCTGCGTATAACACTTCGTTTATTTCTTTACCGCTCCTGACTGCTTATGCATTTTCGAAAAGATTCATAAAAGATACGTTTCACTCATTCTGTGTATGCCGTAAGAAAACGAAATGAGAATACTGGAGCATGCGCACGATTTCCTCGCAAATGGTTTCACAAAATGTTTTTGCTGAAAATCCATATTTTAATTGTAGAATGTAAATATCTGACAGTATGTGCACCTTCGACGCATAATTCTCAAGTTTTTTTTAGCCCATGCTCAGGACTTGTTAACAGACAACCGGAGTTAGTAGTTATAAAGTAGATCTCTATTGATATTTGCAATCTGTCACGAGACTTTCAAAGACCATAGTCATATCTAACTCATTAAATAAGAAAACGACATAAGAAAAGCATTGTGCTTGCATCTTTATCAATTCTTTTTGGTGCTGAAAGATTGTTCGTATAGATGATTTAATAGCTGTTTATCGTAGATTATCATATCATAGTTGGTGAAATTCTATGTGTGGATTGCTCAAAAATTCAACAGAAGGATGTTTTACAAATATCGACTCGATCATTGTTATGTTTTCTTATATGACAAAGAAATTTTCACTGTAATATTTTACAAAAATTAGAACATAAATGTACGTAAAAACGTGTCTCACAATTGATATCAACACCATAGAATTCGACATATTTGAAGTTCAACATGTGAATATGATTTTTATTAACAATAAATATCACCAATCGACCATGTTCTCTCTACAGATGTCGCTTTTATTGTTTCTTCTTTGGGAATAAACCAAAAGGCATATTCCATGTAGTCATAGTTTTTATCACACAATCGTGGGATGTTCCCCTCTTGATTTTATATATATTGTCTGAGAGTTTTTCTACTAAGTGATTCATTTTCATTTGTTCTGGATAAGCACTTCATCCACTACAAAACGTCCCAAAGTATTTTATTGAAGAATTGTAAAAACGATTGTCTCTTTGTCATCGATGGCGATGGTTTATTCTGCAACTCTTCATACATTACCTATTGAACTTATTTATCGTATTCTCGATCATCTTGATGTACCAACAATTTTACTTTCGTTTTATGGTGTTTGTACACGATTCAATCAAATGATTAATACGTATAATCGCTTCAAGGTAAATCTTTTTCAGATGAATTTATTTTCTTAAATTCGACAAGAATTGAATAATTTCAGACATGTACTGAAATCAAACTCTCCTACGAAAAGATAACCAATGAGACTTTAAAATATTTACTTTATCCATTGAAAACAAGTATGGTAAGACATCATATATTACGTATTCTCCATATTTTGATTGAATATGTAGACGATTACAAAACTTAACCTTGACGAAAACAAAATCGGTGCTCAAGGAGCGAAATATTTGGCTAATGCGTTACAGAACGATATGGTATAAACATCTTTCTTCACGTTTATTACGTGTTTTATTATGTAAATTAGGTACTTGAAGATTTGACTCTCACCAATAATAACATTGGTAATCAAGGTGCAGAATATATTGCTGATGCACTGAAAATTAATACGGTATTAAAAATATTTTCTTTCTATTCGTTATTGTTGTCAAGAGAGAAAGCAGGTTTTCATAATTAGATCGTGAAATACAGCAGAGTTCATAGAGGATCACGTCACGCGAAATTTGCGTTAAAAGATCGATACAATCATAGAATTACAAACAATAAATATAAAGAAACGGAAAGAAGATAGAAATTATACCAATATCACTATACTTAGCTGTTTTATCTCATGAATTTAAGGTAGCGAAAAGCAAATTATATACAAATCCTACAGAGTTTTCGAAGCTCTGTGGAACATGACAGGTCTTTAGGGTCTCCCATGAATGTTGATAGCTCGTATGATCTCTCACGATCCGCTTTTCTCCTGTGATTATCTATATTTTAAAATAGACGCTTAAAAAGTTGAATCTTGCAAAAAACAAAATTGGTCATACAGGTGCACAATGTTTGGCGAATGCTTTAGAAGTAAACACGGTATAAGCATTTCTATCCTTGTCTCAGATAAATTTTCATTATAAAGTAGACATTGGAAGATTTGTGCGTCAATGCCAACGACATGGGCTCACAGGGAGCAGAATATTTTGCAAATGTATTAAAAACTAATAAAGTATAGAATAACTTTTATCCCTATTTCCCACATTGATCCAATTTATGCTGCAGACACTCATTGAATTTCATCTTGGATGGGCTAATATTGGTTATGAAGGAGCACAGCATTTCGTTGATACATTAAAGATTAATACCGTAAGAACATCTTTACCATTTATATGGCGATGATTATTGTTTATATTTAACATAGACACTTAGAGAATTAGATCTTGGAGGAAACGATATCGGTGACATAGGGGCACATGTTTTAGTCAGTGTATTACTCCGTCGCTTCAATACAGTAAGATAGTACACTGTTTTCGTTCTTCCATATTTATAATTATTATTCAATATAGACATTGGAGATATTAGCTATCGATAATAATCGAATTAGTACCGGCAAAAAACGGCTTATTCATAATCTACTAAAAAATACTTCAATAAGAGTTTATGCTCATGATCAAGATGATTTTCATTCATCTAGTGCAGTATCGCCATTTATGCAAACACAATCCAGTGGTATCGAATTCGATTCTGTAGATGAATGTTGGCTTTGAAATTTATTTTGGCCCTTTTTTGTATTTTATCAACAGTTATCGATTGCATAATAAATAAGTTCAGCTTTATATTGAAATGATTGATTATCGTCATTCATTAGTGGTATACAGTTATGCACACTGTACGTTATATGCTGAACGTCATGAACTGCTATGATTTGATGATGAGCAATGCACTGTTAAACTAGAAGAAACTGTAATGATTTCGATAATAGGGAAATGTTACTTGAGCTAATGGTTTTGGTTTATCCACCTAAATTAGTATGATGAACTTCCTTAAATTGACGAAACAGATATTGTTTCATCAACTAGTGTCACTTCAGTTGATGCGCATCAACAGCTTTTTACACTACGCACATATAAGTTACGTTCTAATGAAAGATTTCGACTGTAAATTCCCAGTGCAAACTTTCCCGTAATTCAGAGAGTTATCGTTGTGTACCGAAGAATCAACTGTGTATTTGAACATAAATAAGAAAGATCAATGATCAGTCAGTTCCGATAATAAGACTTCTCTGGTAATCTGTCAGCTCAATAGTATTTTCCCCTCTCGATACGTCTCCGCCCATGATTTGAAATTCGTGTGGCCAATGAGACGTTGTTAATCGGTAACGGAATGCATGTAGTCGACGTTCAATTAGTTCATCGGGATTTTCTGCAAATGATAATGGCGTCATACAAATATAACTAACCATTCTTAATAGATTTGCTGGCTGATTATTATTTGCCGGACGTTGTGGTGTAACAAACGAAGGCGAATTACAATGAACGGTTCGAGAATCCCATAATAATAAATTTCCTGGTTGAGCGTGAATTAATAAGCCATAACCATCTTGCAAAATCTCATGGTAGACTGGAATTTTTGCATTGTTACCCGTCTTTTTCCATATGGAAAGTAACTCGTGAAATCGCTTATGCGAACCCGGTATAACCATCAATCCACCTGTGGTTTCATTGGCGGGCAAAAGATTAACAATACCTTGCACACAAACTCGATTTGGTTTTGTTACAGGACTTTGATCAACGTGCCAGTTAGCTCCCACAGTTTTCCATGAGTTTGTACTACCCGCTACAGAGAAGATATATGACTGGTTTTTTTTGTAAATATCATGGAAAACTCACGCAGTATTTGTGGATTTAAATGCCATGGCCTGAAAATACCGATACCATCCATTGAACACAATAAATCATGAGTATTCCATATCGCTGCAAAAACATCTTTTACTGCTGGAATCGAGCGTATAAACCATTGTGCTTGTGAATTTCCAGAACCAAAATCTTCGATAATACCCGCTTCATGTCTACCTGGCCATGTATTCCATGTTTGAATTTGACCTCGTTTGATTTTATATGGAGACTTCAAGCCTTCTAAATGCTGCCAAATAAGATTTTTGGCTGTATTCACTTCAGCTTCGTCTAAGACATCCGATATAACTGTGTAACCATGTTCTTCCAAGTGTCGTAGACCTTCAGCTAATGCTTGCGGATCTTGACAAGAGAACCGTGGTGGAGCCGTCTGATAATCAACTCGTATTCCTGAGCGGTCGAGCTCCATTCCATCTCGAATATCCCCTTGTGCATTTGCCATTACCAGTTATTCTATGATTGCGATCGAACTGCTGTTACTAGTTTCGAAAACCAACCGTACACATATATACAGAGAAAAAGTCAAAGAGTAGTGACACATGATATTACCAAATTCTCTTTAGTGATTGCGCAAGAAAAGAAGAAAGACAAACAACGTGGTACGACGTCTTTCTTCACTATCGAAAGTCAATAACATTGCAGTTGGTGTTTTTTGTTGTGCCACCTACTACGTTACATTCATTTTTGGCTGTAATAAGTTCTAGAATATACCTACGGATCGTTAGCAGTTTATAAGTTGAGTTTACGAGAGAGTCGCACAACTATGTATTATTGTTCTTTTTTCTTTTGTTTCTCCACATTCGATTCTTCAACAAGTAAACCAATCAATTCGCGACAAGTGTAAAAAAAAATCACATGAGAATGAATAACATATATGTCAGGTAATGATAAACTACATAGCGAACATCAGTATTTCTTTCCGAGACTGAATCATTTTTATAAATGAGAATGTTTTTTATCACAAACCGTATGAAGATCGGCGATGGGAGGAAGCCCTCTGGGTAGTTACCTTGCTATTTGTTTTTTTCTCGTTCTGTTCTGCAGTTTTATATGCAGAACATGTTGGAAAATACCGACAAATACATCCTTTTTTATTTCAATACGTCGGCACAATGTTATTCATTTTCACACTATCAAACATATAAGGAAGTTCATTAACGTCGTGTCTGTATACTAATATATACAGAGAATCTTCGACAATGCAGTATGAAAGTCAAATAAGCAAATACGAGTATATGACCGATCAGGTGCATGATACACTGGGAATTGGTCCCACCTACTTTGAGCAACTACCTCAAAGGATATTAACAGTGACACGACCTATTCTTCCCACGTGAGTCTATTTTCATTTGTAAACCTCTCGAATTTATTTCGTACTCCCAGGCTGGAAAGTTCGAATTCATTCTTTGTGCCGACTTTATCAAATAGAAATACACTGTCAAATCGAGTTGTTTCTCCCTGTGTGAATGATTACCAGCAGACATTGCTTTATCCTAACGCTAAGCGATTGAAAACAGATCCTTTCGATTCGTCAAATGGTTCAGAGACTAATACAATGAAAACGGAGCCATATGAGACTATTTCTGAACGTATGATTATCATTCATAATCACTTGAATGTTCCTATTCTTTGAAATATTTAGAAGTAATCTCAAATGAGATTGTAGATAGAAACCCACAAAAGTTCAGCAATGAAATTGTTGAATTTGTTTCTTGTTTCAACTTAACAGATGTTGAACATAATAGCAAACAATGGTTATACAATGGTCGTTTACTTCAGACTTTTAAACTCGATCAAGAAATCCACTTTGAACTATTACTTGAAAACGATCCAGTCATTGATGTTTCTATACATCTTGTTATAGAAATGAAAACTCATCAAGGTAAACATTTCATCTGATAAACGAACTTTGAAAGCATTTATTCTGTCAACAGTTGACGGCGTCAGATTTCTATGGAATCAAGTATTCGAATCAACAAAAACAATTGCTGCTAGCGTGGATCATAAAACTCAACAAGATCAAGGCGGCTCGGGTGCTATTCTCGCTCATTGTATGGGATTAGGCAAAACTTTCACAACAATTGTATTGCTTCATACACTTTTCCGACATTCGAACTTAACGCNCTATCGGCTTCTTTGATCATTCCTTGAAAGAGTAGAGTAGTGGCAATGTTATTCAAATTCATCGCAATATCAACATGAGAATGTTTGTAACATTCTTCTTGAATTGTTAAAGCTTCTTTAAAGGTGGCGAGTGCCTTGTCGTCTTTTGATTTTCGACGATAAATTCGAGCGAGATTTACTAAACTATTAGCGATAAGTGGATGAGTTGATGCATAAGAATTCCGTCTGATTTCCAATGCTTTTCGATGAATTTCTTCGGCATCTTCATATTTTCCTTGTAAATGCAAAATTTCTCCGATACTCGAAAGAATCAAAGCAGAATCTTTCGTTCCAGTTGGAATTGTCTTCATTATTCGTTCGTAAAATCGTTTTGCTTCATTCCATTGTCCTTTCAATTGACAAATTTGACCAAGGAAATACTTAATCCATTGGATATCTCCATTGGGAAAATGATTTAGTAAATATTGAAAATATACTTGTAATTCATTCCATTGATTCATATCAAACATTAGTTTGCCGAAAACGGTTCGAAGATTTAAATTTTCTATTAGATTGCTTGTATCTTTGACATATTTTTTGACAATTTGTTGACCGTCGTTCACTGCAGTTAATCGAATCGAACATTTTTGATGATTTTCGGTGATTTTCTCTAATAGAAATGTTGCATTTAGATCGAATAAAACTTCATTTTCATTGAATCGAACAAAAGTCAAGTTCGTTTTCGAGTTACATTCAAATTTAAATGTCACATCAATTGAATCGTTGCGTCGAATTTTGGAAGTTGAACTATTTAAATACAAAAATCCTTTACTTGTCATGAATTTGCCTTGATTTTCTTTGAAATATTTTATTTCATTGTGTGATAATCGGATTTGTTGAGAAAAGCTCAGATTTTCTTCGTTTGATCGTTGGTGTGACAAAGATTCGATCAAATCATTGAGAAAATATCGCAAATGATACAGTTGAGTGATGTTCTTTGTTTGAAATGCGTTACAAACCATTAGTCGAAGTGAACAATTCTTTCGGTAACAATCAATGGCGTCTTTTGATTTGTATTCACCTTCGAAATCGTCCAGCAAATCAAGTTCGTCACAATTCTTGTCCAAATAGACTCGATAGGCATCGAACATTTCTTTTTTAGCTTTGTCGTCTCGTGAAAAGTCGCAGATGACCGAACGAAATAGATGAATCCATAGAAAATCATTGGCTTGTTTCGATAAATCTTGATTTTCGTATTTGTTCTCGGTAAAAAATGCCAGAGAAGATAATTGACTATTAATGAAAGCGATTTGTTCCTTAACTGATGATAACAACGAAGACATCTGATGATAAACACCAATGATATTCAATTCTTGATGAAAATTGAATTCATTGTCTTCTTCTTCGTTTGGATGATATACAAAGAGATAATCAATGCGACGAAATAAATTAATCGAAGAAATAATTTGAGTCATGAACGAATTCGAAGCAATAAGAAGAATTTTCTCATTTTGGATCAATTTCAGTTCTGTTACACATATTTGAATATTTGAATAGAAGTTAAATGATTTGTCAATTTCATGTAATTTCACAGCCAAAGATTCAGTTTCAGCATCGGAACACAAACAAATAAGATTTTTGCGTGCTTCATTTAGTGATAAAAATTCTAACGTCATGTTTATTGTCAATAAGGTATACTTTCCTCACGAACACGCCCAAACGTTTGAATAAACCTTTCTGTTGATTATTGTTTGACTTTATTTTTATCCAGATATTGTAATGAAGAAAAGGAAAATTATCCGCACGAAATAACATCACTTTTACGACGGATGGGTTATTAACGGATTACTCAGGTATGACAAACACACATTGACTACTTTTTTGTTTGTTTCACTCTATGCTCATATGTTTAATATAGAGGAAGGAAAAGAATTGTTTTCGTCGAGTCTTGTGGATGATGTTGGAAATCACAATTCTTTTCTCGATTGATGGTCTCACCTATGATGTGAAGGTTTATCATATGACTGTACTTGAGCTAGTTTTACACTCATTGCCATTTGCATTGTCTTATTTTTCAAATGCTGATTCGCGAATGAATGGTGGGAAAACAGAAGCATTTATTGTTTTCGTGAACAAAAACATTCAATTTCATGTCTCTTATTATCCCAATAATTTGTAAATCTCAATTTCGCGTGGTCGAAATGTGAAATTGCCTGTAAATGTAATTGAACCTTTGTTTGTTGTGTCTGTGTAAGTAGCAGGAAAACTTGTATGGCAATCAGTTGCATTACTATAGTTGCGCAAATAAATATCGTGACCACCACCGAATGTAGGACCATACGATGAACTATCGTAGTACCCGTATTGTTCCAATCCACCTCGAATCAGATAACGAGTTGGGGGAATTGAGTTTGGATTTGTCAAGGTAAAAATAAAAGCATGGGGATCATTGATATAGTTCCCTGAGGAATTCCAAGCTAGATTAGCGTATCCACCAAATAAGTAATAATTTGTTGACTGAATAACTGTCATCGTTGGTGCGTGGTTATCACAGAGACGATGAAAATCCGTACTGCCAAATCCATCTCGTGTGGCCTTATACAACAGCTTCCATTTAGGATTTCGTTTACCAGTGAATCCAGTAAGAATAGCTTGATGCTGAGGAGACAAGATATCACCACCTTTGAAGAAAAAATACGTTTTCTTAAATAATCTTTACTATTCTTGCGGACAAAGCAGTTTTCTACGAATCTCGATTAATTTATGATCTAGGTTTTACATTTGAGTAAGTACTACTACAGAATACACATATCTCAAAAGATTTGTACCAGCACTATACAAAGACTCTTAGGAGACTTTGATTAGTTCTCAAAAACAAAGATACGAAGAGACATACGCATTCTTGTCATTATTGAAATTGCACTATAAAACATTGTGACGTGTAAGTTATCTTACCACAAACAATTTTCGGACTTTTTGGACACTGAGCTCCAGCAGGACAGTTTTTGCATTCGATCGATCCTACTCGTGATGTATATGTACCAAGCGGGCAAGCACTGCAACAAATTTGTCCAATACAGGACGAATATGTTCCCAGCGGACATGGTGATGGGGCTTTGCCAGCTTCTCTACACATATAACCAGCGGGGCAGACAGTACAAGAAGCAGAACCACTTGTGTTGGAATAATAACCCGATTCACATGGTGCGCAATCATCTTGTCCCGCAGTCCACTGAATGTGCCGGGCGGACAAAGAGTTAATACTAATTCATAATCATCGTTAGATCTTAGCCCTGATCGTCGCATTACTTTTGAACAGGAGAAACCTTCTGGACATTGCTGTTGCACTTCTTCAGATTGACACAGCAGACACCAGATACTTGCTAAAACACAGTATAAAATTTTTCCCATTTTGTCGATTGTTGAAATATTTCGCCTCTCATGTTTTATAGAGCAGCTCGTGATTATCACCGAGTAATGATACACTCATCAAATATTTTCTCAGGATCTTCTTTTGTGCTATAAAATCATGATATCTCTGTTTTAAATCTGTATGTATATATATATAATTTATCTCTGAATAGTTCGCGCCCCTGGAAAATGCAATTCTTAGCGAAATATAAATCTGTATGCATACTCAGTATAGACAACTGATACATCAGCAAACATGTTTTTACTAAATACTTAGAGGTAATCTGCTGTCTATATTTATTCTATTTGTTTAAATCCTTTTGTATTTAAAGTACTCATAGATCAATAGTAATAAGTCGATTTTAGATCATATTTTATATATGACCATTGACATATACACAATTTTGAGAGCATCATCATTTAAATGAAGAACTCGATAATCAGCGAACGATTAAAAACCTTTCAAGTTGAAAACAAACATGAACCGCTTTTTGCCATCAAGTCAATCTTGGGTGAGGAGGTGTATTTTATTATATACAGAGTTTCTAACTATAGTGCATAGTAAAACATGTTTTCTTGAATTTACAAAACAAAACAAATTAATTTTTACGACAACAGTCACAGTATAGTTCATCTGGATGATGATCAGGTCCATTTGCAGGACAATGATTTTCTCCTTGACCCATTCCACCGGTCCAACTTGGTCCAGTCATTCCTGTTTGAGCCTTGTCATACGTTGTATCCCCACTAAGGGTACTCTTTTCGTTCGTTATTGTATGTCCTACTGATTGATCATCTTGGACATCGTTCTTTTGACGCCGTGCTGTTTCTTCATCGAGATCATGAATAAAGCATTCCATTTTGTTGTAGTTTTCTATCGCGTAAGTTTAAAATGAAGAGAAAATGCTGATTTATCGTTCTATATATATATACATGTAGATAAATGCTCATGAAATGAGAGAGAAAGAAAGATTGCGTCGATCATTTGAGTACTACAATTGCGTAGTATGCACAATCTCGAACAACGTATGGAAAGATCAAGAAAATGCACTATTGTATGTAGGTTAAAGAACGCCATTCTTTTTCTTTTCTGTTCTTATGGCTCTATGATTCGTTGTATACTTAGAGTCGCGTTTGTACTGGAATTATTGTAGAAGAAAAAGAAAAAATGTGCGTAAAAACATAAGTTTATAATCACAGGTTGGTTTTTATAACGCAAAATGAATCTCGTTATCGTTAATCTTCCAAGTACAGAGATCATCGACTTCGTACATTTTCAACGAAAATACGAACCATTCGAGCAAACTTCTAATCAAATATTATCTCAATAAATGTTTCTTCAATGATGTGGATCTATCTTAATTTGCTCTATTTTAAATAAGATGCAATGTCCACATGGTATTTACTCATTACCATATATGATAGTAATCAAATGTTTTTCTTTACTTTTCAAATCAACATTTTTAAAGAGAGCAAAAATAGCTGATCTCAAATTTTTATAACTATTTGATTAAACGTCCTGTTTTTTTTGAATCTGATGACTTGAATTTAACTGGAGAGACAAATGCATCGTATTATTTTTCTGTATTTCATCATTCTGAGTAGGTATTTTCTATTTCAATACAGCAAATCTCATTGAAGTCATATGTTCACAGTGATGATTTCCACGATATATGGACTGAATTGTATTGTATGTTCAACTATTACTGATATCGATTGTTATGATCCTTACAAGGGAGATTTATCAAAAACAAGTCCTGTATCTCAATCAGGTTTTACATCTTGTCAAGTGAGTAAGAGCAACTCAACGTGATTGTCTTATATTATGTTTATTTCCGCTCAGAAAACAATGTATTGGTCAAATGTGGGTTTCTTTCCGTCGGGTACGGTTGTTCGAGAAGGTTCCAACGCCCCATGTATTTCATCTTCGAGTACAGGTGCGGTGGCAACACTTTATTGCTGTTCGGATAAAGATAATTGTAACAGTGCCATGGGCTATTCTGTATCATTATTCATGACGATCTCATCGATACTGAGTTGTCTGATTATTAAACAGATTCTTCAATACTGAATAACAACTTATTCACTTGATCATTTAATAAAAATTCTATGACGATGACGAATACAGAGTCAATCGAATAGAATGTCACATTAAAGAAAAGGATTTGTACATAAAACTTTATTCTAAGTTTAATATTCTCATAAGCCAAAGTAAATAGCAACAACGTCTGAATTATCTGCATATAAATGTGTTTCTACCTATCGCGTTTTTAGTTTCTTTTCGTTGAATCGACATTTGGGCGCTCACCAATGAAGTATCAAATACACTACATCTCTATCTTCTTTTGTTTAATAATAACTAGAGGGAGACCCGCTGCAAATAAGAAATATCTATGTCGAACATCTCACGTGCTGAAGACTTATAACAGATAGAAAATCAATACAATTAAAATTTCTACGCTTCCAGTCCTTATTTTTCCCGCCGTGCATCGCATAAAATGGCAGTTTCGGCTATATCTGTTTATGCAAAAGACTTGCCGAAGTTAATTTCTGCCTCAGAAATTATAAAAATTTCCTCTTTCTCTAATATTCATTTTCCACTCCAGCTATTCATTTATCCATCTCTTTCTCACTCTCACGTCATTTCATACCTTATATCCTTCGAATTCACCCACCCTCAGCATTTGTCTTAACCTTTTGAGATCCTGTAACGCTATTGGTGACTTTCGCAGATTATCTGTAGCATTCACCGAACTATCATAGGCGTAGAGACCGCGTGGCTTGTTGTCTATGAGCGCTCAGACGGCCTTCGGCCGCCTTCGCTACCGACCCGCTGCAACTTTTCACATCTCGCAATCCTATTGGTCAGCTTCGTAGGCCGCTTGTAGCATGCACAGGACTCCCAGGCACAGGTCGAACATGTGGATTGTTGTTTTTGAGCGCTCAGACGGCCTTCGGCCACCTTCGCTATTAATTTCCTCAATTTGGGAAATCTCGCATTCCTATTGGTCCGTTTCATATATTGCCTGCAGCAAACGCCTGGTTCCGTTGTTCTCGGGGAAAAGTAGATGTCGACCTTCCTCTGGGTCTCAGGAAGCTTTGTGGAAAGTTTCACGCCGATAGCTGCTACAGGGACTGAATGCATAGCGAACAGACAGACAGACAGACAGACAGACAAACTTTCTTCTTTATATATATAGATAATGAAAGCAGGTGTGTTACCAGATGAAAAATCCAATTCTTTGAAAGCAAATAATGATTATCCATCATCAACATTACCATCAGTAGAAGGTTGTGACTATCATGATGAATATTATAACGATAAGGAATTGTTCATGGGTAATTGTAATTGGTGCAGATGTGCAGATCAACAAGTTACATGCACACTAATGCTTTGCCCTACAACAGTGCCAAATGCTTAAAATATGAACTTTGATGTACCACACGTAGTATTTCATCGATAAAATGCATTTTGTGAAACAGTCGACGAAGGAAATAAAGGAGAACAAAAGCGCAAGTGATACACGTTTTTTTAAAATAGAAATGATCTTTGACAGTATGTTTTTCATATATCAGTCCTTTGAGACCATTTTTGTCTCAGATATATGCATTCATTCGTTGAATATTTCAATCTTATTCATTTACCTGTAAGTTGATTGATCATTGTGAAAAAGAAAAACTTTAGTAAATTATTACGATTGTTCAATTCCTTTTGAAAATGATCGTAATTTTACTTCTATTTTTTCCATAGTTCTAGATTAATATTTGATAGTGTAATACATGATTCCGCCAATGATTTTGAATGATTACTCTTGTCGGGAGACATAATATATTTGTAATACCTGAGACAATCGAATACCTTTGTCTATAATCGTTCTATATTGTTTTCATTATAAAAGCTCGTCATTGATTCGGACTATACTCGATCTATTGAAAGTTGATAACACTTCTATTGAACATTAGAGAGATTTGTTGCTTGTCCTATACTTGCGACTCGGAATTTTTATCATCAAATTGATTTCTACTGGTAATGTCCATAGCGAAAGCCGTTTTGATAAGTTCATAAGAATTGATTTCATCTTTTTCTTGTTTCAAATTGACTTCCATAAGTGAACCTAATCCAAGATGTTTCCATTTCTCTGATTTCCTCCAAAAGAAGATCCGATCTTTGACTTTTTCACGAAAACGACTTGATACAATGAAGAACATATAAAAATTTCCCTAAAAAATCCTTCTCAAATCATTTCACTCAAAGTAATCCAACTTACAACAAAATAAAAATAAGATATCAGACCAACGATCGTCGAAATGAAATACTCTTGCATTTGTCGATAGGCATCTTTAGAATAATCCTTCGTAATCATCATATAAACATTAAAAATTCCATATGGAGTCACACTGGCAATCACCAGAAGAACTTGAACAAAAATTATTCGCGTCAATTTACGATCAACTTGTTGTTTCGAAAGAAAAATCGTTTGACGAATGTTTCGATACGCTAAATACCCGAATAAGATCATAATAAATATCGGAGTAAGACATAAAAGAATGAATATATTAGACATCAAATACTTTCGATAGAATAAATTCGTATTCATACATAATTTGTCATTAGAAGAAATATCTAAATATATAAAATATGGAATGCCGTGAAGACACCAAATAAAACTCATGAATAAAAGAATTCGATAGGTGTATTTCATTTGACTATACTGTCGAATTTGAACGTTCGAAGAAGTTAAGAAATATTGATCGATTGCGGATAAACATGAGCAAGTGAAAGAGATTAAACTAAATGTCGTTATAGAAAATGAACGTGTTTTACACCATAGAATAGATGTACGAGTGTAATCAATGCCATAGCCAACGCTAAGAATTCGACTAAGGAGATTCATGCATAAGTAAATGAGATTTATTATCGAATTTATTAGAAAACAAAATGTAGAAGGAGTTGTACGATAAGTTTGATATGTCGAAAATATAAGAATATTCATCGAATTACCAAAAATACCTCCAATAGCAAGAATAAAGCCACCGTAGATAGTTATTTGTTGGCTAACAGTTAGCAAAGACATGTTTATAATCGAAAAGAAAGAAGCATATGTGTCTTTAATATACAACAAAAACGCAGACGTCTATGTATCGTGTATCGTTGATTGTGAAAGAAAATAATAGTAAATATACTCCTTTCGAATCACAGAATTCATAAGAAATTAATGAGAACACATTCTATAGAACTATATAGAATTCTTTTCACGATAATTTCAGCTAATTATTATTCTTATTACTGTTTATAAATCATGCATAAAAATCATAAAAGAGTATTATATATCTTTAAAAGCTTAACAAATTTTGTACATCCAATATACGATGAATTAAGTACTAGAGTGTCTGTTCTTTTCTTATAGATCTTATTCCATTAGAATTACGAATGAATATCTAACACGAACAGTTGTTTGTTTCTAAATATCAAATAACAAACATACACCTTTTTCTCTAACCTATTATTCCATAGTCTGTTGATTTATCCTAACAGCATCAATAGATTGACCTTGATCAACAAGTGACCCAACTATGTAATGAATACAAAGGATTGTTTTGTGAACAAGATTCTTAGGACGATAAAATAGTTTCAACAGTAAAACCAGTAACGCTCATCCTTTGGATTCGCTGACCTTTTTCTGAAAGACTTTTCCGAACGCTGAACACATTCAGAGACTTCGAAAGAGAAAAAACGCACTGCGATTGCTACTAGTGCTCAACTGAATCATGGCACTATGTCATACACTAGAATGAATAGGATACAGAGGTCTTTCTAGGAATCAGACCGAATAGCCATTTTCAGTGGATAATTTTCCAGCACTAACTATGTTGACTGAAAAATTCATCGCTCAACGACTAGTCAGACGGCCAACCATTGATCTTTGTCATCTGTTTTTCTATTTTCACATCACGCGCATGGAAATTTTCATAAATGCTTTACTAAGTCACTCATAGACGAACGGTATACAGCAGACTACTTGAAAAGTTTGAACATTTGCCTGTGTCTTCCAGCGATAATCCGATTCTTTTCTCTCCTGTCAACAAAATGATACCTTGTCCAATATTTTCATTGAGGAATATCCATTCGTCAAATCCCTTTCAAAATTATCGAAAGCCTGACAAGGTTATTCTAAGTGTGCACTTTAGGATTAATCTAGCATTTAAATGCCTAGTCGTTCGTCAACCTCCCTCCGGTCGGTCACTCACGGCTAGCCGTTGCCATGCTGTCTCTGTTATTCCTTTCGCTTTTGATCAATTTTCAAACTGAACGATTGGGCTTTCTTTTATTGTCGCTTCTACAGTCATGATCGTCTGTTCATCCGACTACCCAAAGAAACTAGATAAGAAAGTCTTATTGTATGATTTGCTTCGAAACAAACATCTTTCATAGTACTGCATGTGTTCAGAATACTCTTTGTATAGTCCACGCGTCTGTAGTTACTAAGATGGAATCCCACCGACGGGTATATCGCTTTGCGAACTACTTCTACTAAATTCCCATAAAAAGACATGATGGATGTAGCCTACAAAGCAAAGATGATACTAAGCTCATATAACTTTTTCGGATTTCTTGAATTAGAAACATCATTATGTACAATGCATTAGATCTTTTCGTGTAAGTTCTTGAGCTACTATCATGGTACGCATGACGTCCATGAATAGCGTTCAGCTCACCATCTTCTACAAAAGATTTCAGAACAGATGAAGAAAAATGTCTCCTTTGTAAAGAGCAAGGAACAAGCCCAGGTTCAGCGAATAAGGCGAAATTCACACTCAACTTCGAATTTCCCGACGTCAGAAACCCTCGGTCTACTCTGGAAATGGATGTTAATAAGTCGTGGCGAGTTAATGAAAAATTAATAATTAATTAAGCAACACTAACGTCGGATTCGTGATCCTCGACCCCGATTACCCTTCAGTCAACCCTTATAAAAAAATGTTTTTCTCAAAAAAGTCAGGCTTTGTCCCAAAAAACAAAACAAAAAGTTTTTTGGAAAAACTGATCACGGATTCGTGATCCTCGACCTTGAAAACCTTTCATCAATCGTTTGCTAATGGCCATGGTTAAGTTTTCTTTCATTTATTGAATGCTGTAATTTGATTGGATCATGCAAACAAACAAGCAAGCAAACTTTTTGCATTTCAACGACCAGATTTATGACGCTATAACCCTTTCTTTCAGAAAAGGGACTTTCCCCAATACTATTTACTTTGGACTTATGAAATCTAAGGAGAAATAGATAGTGAAAAGGTCACTGGTATCGATATCGTGTGTGATATAATGCATAGAATATAGATAACGTTGGGAATGGGAAAGATACAACTATTCATCTCTCATTTGGTGGAATGAAGCGGAGAAGTGACAAGAGAGAAATGGGAAACAAATGAAAGAAAGGAAAGAGAATGAAGTAAGCGAGATAAGGAAACGGATGGGAAAGAAACTGGATTTCCATATCTTCGTGCACTAAATCGACTGGCATAAGAAACCCTATTCTCCATGAAGTATAAAAAGGATGAAAACCGCTAGCAAAAATAACAAGTATTAGAAAGAAGACATCAAATATGAATTTTCAATTTATCGTTATGCTTCTCCTGGTGGTGAGTATTTGCAACATCAAGTGCACAAATTGGTGTAATGTGAACTCGTTGTCAGACCAGCAATACTCAGTGGTTGAATCAGCGTTGGAACGTATTTTACACAAACGAGGAGTTGTGCGTAATTCGCAGCGATCAGGCCATGGTTTGACCATATGGGCTAGAGCGTCCTGTCCTGCTGATTGGAAACAGTGTCAGAGCTGCATCCAACGCATCGTGGATCAAGTAAAATCTGGCTGTCCAAGAAAAGAAGGAGCGCAAATGGAATTGGCTAATCAATGCAAAATTCGATACGAACGGTATACATTTTAATGATGCTCGAATCGAACTATTCCCGCTTTATGATGTATTTGAATATTCTATCTTGAAATCAAAATAAATATTTCATATTCATCGATGCCGCTTACAGTTACTATTCTTTTATGACTTGAGGTCTGAAGTCAGACTCAGGAGCTCAAATTAGACTTGTGATGTACAATTCATGTCTCTGAATTACAGGGAATTCCAAGCACTGAAAAAAGAAAGAACAGACTGCAAAATTCTAAAAGGGTACTTGAAAGTGCCACGAATAATGATCCCTTCGAAACCCTTTGGTAATATTTCCTAAACGTTTTCGAATATATCACAAAATCATCATTTTCAACGCATATTAAAACAAAAAACCTTGTGTAATGACAAACTGATTGATTAGCTGACTGCTTCTCACGGTATAGATGTTTATTGACTACTCTATATTACCAGAATATGTCCCTATTTCACAATAAGACACGCGCTTGTATAGGGAAGAGGAAAGAGAGAGATGAACTGGAGATAGTATGACATAGAGGTGAGAAAATAAAGAACAAACAGAGATGAACGATATCATTATCGCTACCGTATACTTAAGAAATAAAATGAGAGCAGGTACATTAGGCAATATTCTTGTCAACGTGACTTTAATTTCACAGAATTAAGTTAGTTTGCGTGAATTCAATTCAAAACAGTTCTGAAATTCATTAATAGAAGATGTAATGATTAAATGTGCACTTAAGTAGAAAAAGCACCATGAAGATTTCTAAATGTTGACGTAATTAATTATTAATAGTAGTTGGACGTCTACAAGAAAAGAAAAATAACATGAGTTTCCAAATTGTATTATATTTGGAAGATCCATGTGATCGCAGAAAACTGAAGAACTTCCTTTATAACTTTTGCTCAACTACGAGCGCAATTGCAAGAGAGAGAGCTAGATCGATATTGAATGCTCTGTTTATTTGTAGAATAGGAAAAGAGCTGAAAATTAACTTTGGTCATGTTTGAAAAGGAACTTTTACTTCAAAAAAGGATTTGTACGTGCAAATTCAACTTTAAGATCAATCTTAACGAATTGTCGTTGATAAGCTTCCAATGGACCTGTTTCATTTGTTCCTCGAGCGTTTGATACATACATTACTGTATCTGTAAGATCATACAAAGCCACATGCAGATCACCTGTCTTCGCAACCGATGTTATGTTTCGAATCGATGATTCAGGTGTAATTTTTCCGTATTGATAAAGAATTTGTTTGTACAATTTATATTGCCGAGATGGACATAGCCAGTCCATTCCAAGGTAAACAGCGTTCGTCAAACGCGGATGCCATTCGGCTAATGGTTGCAAATTCTGATCGTCGAAAAAATTTACGCGCGAATGAGAATATTGAATCATTCGAGCTGTGCCTAATTTTCCATCCGCTACGCCTAAAACTAATCGACATGTTCGTTTTACATTGGAAATGAATGAAAGCGCATCGTCGAGTGTTTGCGAATATTGTAAAATATATCGTTCAACAAAGATAAACGGAAGACCACTCATACTCTCATCACCAAATGTATCATCGGAAAAATAAATTCCAATTTCGGAGATACCCATCTGCGTCGAAGACATCCCAGTTAATGTTCCGATATAGCCTAAGAAGAAAAGAATGAAATCAAGAAAACTAAAAGAAGCATTTACCCGCCCATGCAACATTAGCAAAAGCATGGCCAAGTTTGGATGACCGAGGATGATAAATCGTAATGACAGGATAATCTTGAAGGCCACCTTTGGTATCCCAATCCAGTGCGCGTAACTGAAGAGTTTTTCCAGCCAATGTTGCATTACCCCATAATCCATAAAGTGAACACCGACCTACATAAAACAGCCATTCATACGATAGAAAAGTGAAGTTATTTAAAATTCACCTCGCGTTATTTCACCGAGCATATGTAAACGTCGAATTGATTTATAATCGACATTTGCAGCTTCAGCAATACCACGCATTTCGTCATAGATTTCTTTATCAATATATTTTTCCACTAGAGTATTCTGAAAATCCAATGCAAACGCCAGACCTTTATTCACAACAATCTCTTCGAACCATTTCGGTAATTTTAACTTATCTAATTCATCAATAATTCTTTGTTCAAAATGTGCCCACGCTCGTGGAAGAAGTTGAACGATTTGTTCCTTCAAAAGTGTTCCATAAGCAATACCATAATCATATCCAGTTTCACCCCAAACATGTATTAACCATGATTTATCGTCTCCACTACCGATTGTATAAAGTGATCCATTTTCGATCGTACGGATAAGTTTCGCCGAACTATCGTCGATTGGATTTAAATTTGGAACACCCAATGACGAATCATTAGAACAGAATGCACCAAGATTGTGCAAAGAATCAAGTTGATACGTGAAATTTAATTGAAGTAATATCAATAAAAAAACAGAAAAACAACGATGATAAAACATTTTTGCCTATGCAAAACGAGAATTTTGTGCTTTATACAGGAGATAAGAATATTCGATATAGTCTTATCTGTGTGAAAACGAAGATATTTTCGTCATCATCATTAATTTAGAATGTATAATTAAGAATTCGAAAATGAAGGTGTGGAAATCTCTTCATTCTCGCTGTTAACTAACATCATTGATGAAGAACAAGAGAAAAAAGCGTTTTGAGTCATGTTATTGCGAAAGTACTGTGCAAGACCACGAGCATGTGTTTTACTCATGTCGTTGTTGGTTCCTTTTGTCAAGTAAAATGCTTCGAAGAGCCGATTTTTGGAAAGAAGAAAGTGAAGCGCCGCTTTTACGCTTGAATCGTTCGTTTTTGCCATCGGACGAAATTCTCGAAAAGATCGAAGATAATGCTGAAGATGATTTCGTGACGAATTTCGATCATGTTCGTATTATACGTCTTGATGCTGAGCGAACGTTCGTAAACATCAAACAACGAACCACATTGATGCATGTTTTATCCTTCCTTCAAAATGAATTCAACTCATATCATCAAGCTATGTCATACGTCGCGGGTTTCCTACTACTTACAAATTCGCCAACAAAAGTTATCGAGAAAATGCGTCAACTTCATCAAAATGTTCTTATTGGCTATTGGACCGAAGAACCAGTTGCATTCGCTACTGACGCCTATGTTTTTGATTACCTTCTCGCGGATTATTATCCAGATATTCATCAACATCTATCCAAACATTTCATTCTCCCAGAAACTTATGCACAAAAATGGTTTACCACATTATGTGTGGGCGTTCTTCCGTTCAAAGCACTCTTTCAATTTTTCGATACATTTATCACAAACGGTTCGTCGACATCGACCAATATATTTCTGTTTCAATTTGCATTGAGTTTAACGAAACATATTCGTGAAGGATTACTTCAAACGAAAAATGTTGCTGTTATGTATCAGTACCTTCGATTAGACTCGTCAATACCGCAATTTGATGCGAAACTTGATGAACTAGCTGTTTCCATTGTTGACAAAGCAAAAGATTATGATTTATCTTCATATGATTTCGTTAAATTACGTGAGAAAGCTTATGATGAAAAATTACGGTCAAGATTAGAAGCAGCAAAACGATCTCACGATGAAAGGAAAGTTTCTATCACATCTTCGTCATCAGATGACGAGAGTGAAGAAGAAGCACAACCAACAACAATGAAAACACTTGTTAATCGCATGGAAAACTTACATATTGAATAAAATAAAAATATCAACGTTTTATAACGTACTACACGAAGCTTTGTCAATAGAAAATTTCTATACTCGATGATTAAATGTATCCCAAATATATAAATTAGTCTGCGTATCGGAAGTTAATTCGTTGGGATAAAAGAAGGTAATCAAATGCAGAACTAGCACCACGTTTGCCAACAACGAATGTACATTTCATAGTACCTTTAGATTAACTACTCAATGATTATTTTAGTGATCTGAACGATCGGATTTGACTATACTTGCAAAATATTGATAGAAAGATGTATATAGACGAATTTTCATTCCTATTTTATGTAAACTGTTGAACATGATCATTGATCTTCGATTATATGTGCAGTTTTGTAAAGCAATACTTTAGTTACATACGATTTATTTTCAAAAGAAAAATTTTATGCTGAAGGTGGTAGGTCTTACTCATATCACAAAGTGTCAATTTAGTTTAATTGTCAGAGTATCAGCGATGATGAACCACGCATTGCTAATAACTATCGCTTTTACAAGTTTCAAATTAAGTTAAGTTAACTAAAATAGTGGATACAATGAATACATTTCATTGACGCTCTGTATCTCTCCGATCATTGAAATCGGCATATATCTGATATAATATTGCATAACACAAATGTTATGTAAGGACGTATAAATACGAAATGACAGATTTGATTTTTGTTACAGATGAACGCATTTTTACTTTAATCTTCATAAATGTCCTCTTTCTTTTTCTTTCATCGTACTCTTCAGTTGTGATAGAAATAAGAACATTTGATCATATAATTAATCATGATTGATGCTTACAATATCTCAGAAACATTGGAGCATTTATCCAATGTTGGAACAAAGAAATCGAAACAAAAAGTCGATCATCTTATCATCAAATCTTTTCTCGCTGGTATTTTACTTTCATTTGGAGGATTATTTCTCTTGACTGCTGGTGGTGGAAGTCTTCCATTAAGTGTACAATTCGGTGGAAGTATTCATAAGATAATTCAAGCTGCTGTATTTCCAATTGGCCTTGTTTTAGTTATTCTCACTGGCGCTGATTTGTTTACTGGAAATACGATGATTTTAATGGTATCAACATTAAATAAAAAGACCACATGGATTCAACTTATCAAATCCTGGTCAATATCATATGTCGGAAATTTTGTTGGTTGTTTATTCTTTCAATTTGTATTAGTTTATTATGCAGGTCTTCTCCGATATGATCCTTATCGTTCATTTTCGATAAAATACACTGAAATAAAAGGATATACAGAATGGTATGAAATGTTTTTACGAGGTATTGGTGGGAATTGGCTTGTTTGTCTTGCATACTGTTTATGCACAAGTGCACGAGATTTGAATTCCAAAATTGTTGCAATCTATTTACCTATTTTGCTTTTTGTTGCAGTTGGATATGAACATTCCATTGCAAATATGTTTACAGTTCAAATGGGAATGCTACTTGGCGCAGATGTTTCGATTGGAAGATATATTTTATGTGTTTTATTACCCGTTACTTTTGGAAATATAATTGGTGGAGGAGGTTTTGTTGGAGGACTCTATTGGTATTTATATCTAACGAAAAAATCCAAAAGTGAACAGAATATTACCATGGAACTACCAACTACAAAGGAATATCGAAGCGTAACACAACACGATGATTCGCTTTGAAAAAAACCATCAGAGATATTTTGAAATACTTTCTTTCTTTTTTATTACATATTTTATAACTTAGTTCGATCAAAGATATAGCGAATAAAAATATTCTATTAAAATCCTTCTACATATCCCTTCGAACCGCTCGTTTTCCTTGGATCAAATGTTAAAGTAAATAGTCGAACGGATTTTGTTCACCAAATCGATAGTAAATTTACAATATTCGTGCGAGAGAGATGAGTAAAAAATCTTAGTTTAAGAAGTACAATCAAGGAGATTTGTATGCACCATTAAATGTTATACGTAATAATGCAAATCATTTGCATACATAAATAATCTTATTATAAAAATTCAAAAATATCCATTTCAATACGTTTGATTGTATAATATCAATATAAATAGTCTTTGCTTATTCAACTTATTACAAATGATCCGATATGGTAACCTTCGATGGATGCTTCTATTCTTGCTTTTAGTAGAAGGAAATGCCAATAGTTTATTTAATTCCCCAATTTTAACTGCTGATGCATCTTATAACTCGTACAAGTTCAATATACTTCATCATTTAACGGCAATATCGCCTTATTTTGAATCTGATACAAACGAACTGAATCCTGGCCTTCCAATTGGTTGTACAGTGGATAAAGTAGTTTATTTAGTTCGCCATGGTTCAATCTATGCAAATGATTATGATTACGAACATACAATTGATCCATTTCTAAAACGTTTCCAGTCTTCCTTGAGCCAAATTGATTTTTCTCGATCTCAAGAATTCGCTTTCTTACAAAGCTGGAATTCGCCCATATCGGATCCGAATGAACAATTAGAAAAATTGACCAAATCAGGCCGTCTCGAAGCTTTTCATCTTGGAACACAATTGGCATACCGCTACCGAAATATAATCCCTGACAACCTTGATGCATCATTCAAAATATGGGCGTCATCATCGAATCGAACCAAACAAAGTGCTTCATCGATTCTCTCAGGCTTATCTGGTAAAGAAAAAACAGTCGATGATGTTTCATTGATCAACGAAGAAAAGAATCAAGGTGCAAATACATTATCACCAACAAAAACTTGTTCTAAGTTTAATATTTCATCGGGTTCTGAACAAGCCAATATCTGGCTCGAACATTATACTTCATCAATCATCACTCGATTGAATAATCGAATATCTGGGTTTCAATTCTCAGCCAATGATATTTTAGCAATGCAAGAGCTGTGTGGCTATGAAACTGTCATTCGTGGATCTTCACCATTTTGTCAAATTTTTACATCGGATGAATGGCTTTCGTTTGAGTATTATTTCGATATCAAATATTATTATTCATTTGGATATGGAAGCTATCTATCGGCAAGTCTCGGAATGCCGTGGGTGGTCGCATCAAGTGAACTTCTCAACGAGACAGTTACCACCAATCAAAATCTTTACATCAATGTCGTTCATCGAGAGATGTTACCGTTAGTTTTAACAGCATTAGATCTGTATAATGATTCAAATGAAAATCCAACATTTCCATTGGATCGTATTAACTATCGACGAGCATGGAGATCGAGTCAATTTGTTCCATTTCTTGGACATATTGCATTAGAACGGTTACAATGCGCATCGAGTTCGTACAATGGAAAATTCATTCGAATTCTTGTCAATTCTGCACCGCAGCCTCTACCTGGATGTGAGAAAGGACCAGGTGCGAGTTGTCCTCTAACACAATTTATGGATTATATCAAAAATCGAGATGATTTGCATGATGATTTCTCGAAAGCATGTCAAGTGAATTATGAAAACAGTACCGATGTATTCACATTTTTTCCATAGAGAAATATATTCGAAAAGAAATTATGCTTTCTGATTTTTTCTTGTAAAATAAAGAAAGTGTTTTATAGATGATGGCATAATTAGACTTATTAACCATCGAACACAATCGTAGAGACGAATAAAAAAATATCCCAGCGTTAATAAATCGAATGATTTTATTGTAAAGACAATGACAAAGTGCTAGAACTTGTGCGCTGCCAGAAATGCTTTCATTCTTCAACAGCAATTGTGTGTTAGTTGAAAGTGTGGAATTGTGCATGGCTAACAAACTTCGAGAACTGAAAAACGTGTAAGACGATTAAAACCATACATTGAGAGAATTTGTGTGAAACAGAGAGACGGTCATGTCATGAAACAGTTGCCCAAGAATATACAATACTCTGTAGTGAGCTTCCTCGACGAAATATATCATTTCTTATCTGCAAGATCCAATGAATCGTATACAAATGCATCTCGTGCAATGGCTCATCTAAACTATAATGCTCTATATTTACCTTAGGTCATGTCTAAAGTCATTGGATTTTCCCAGTGGAAAAAAATTGAGGTTACAAATCGCAATTTGCAAAATATAGTTTGACCTCACTGTAGACGTCTTTCTACGAGCTGTTTTTAAAACATAGGTGAGAAGATTTTCTGTTTTGCCCAGACAGTGAGAGAATAAAATAAAAATATAGTTTATCACTCAAGAGTCGGAGTGATGAAAAAAGAAAAGAAAATAAAGATTTGCAGAGATAAGAAAAATTGACTGGGAAAGAATATCACAAGTGTCCGCTTTTCAACGAACTCTCCATCAATATTCGATACATCTAATCGATGTTGACTACCGGTATATTAATTATTATATTTTTCAGTACAATTTATGTGTTATTACGCTATTCAACTGAAAAGAAAAGATTTCCCGGTCCAAAACCGAAACGATTTGTCCCGAATTTTCTCTTTTTCTCCATTCTTAAACTACGCGATGAAACCCGTCGAAAAAACCTGTTGAAACGTTTCTTCCCCGAATCGTTTCACTACGTTGAACTAACTGTTCCATTAGCATCCCAATATTACACATCTAAATATGGCGATATTGTTCAAATCAATCTTTTCAATCAACCGACAATAATCATATCCAATGCTGATTTCGCTGATTATATCTTGCGGCGAAATGGAAAAAACTATACATTAAGATTTGGAAATCAATTAGGTTTAGCATATTTAGGAATGGAACATCGAGGAATTATTTGGAATCGAAATGTTCAACGATGGAAATACCAACGTGCGAATTTCTTTCAAAAATCTTTAAATAGTAAAATATTAGATGATGCGAAATATATTTCCAATGATGCTGTTGATTACGTGTTAAAACATTTGAATCAATTTGAGATTCAAGCGAATGTTGTTGATACAATGGATCTTTTACGTGCAATGACATTTACAATAACATGTCATTTGTTTCTTGATTTACCTGTTGGATCAATTCCAATTGAGAAAACAAAACATTATGTCAATTCGATTGTTCAATATTTTAAAGCCTGGGAATATTTTCTATTGAAACCGACGGAATTCTATAAACATCATTTAACGGCAAAACATGAACAGTCGGTGAAAAACTTGAATGAAGTGGTCAAAGAAATCATTTTGCAAAGAGATCCAAGTCAAAATTGTTTATTTATCAATTCATTATTTCAAGCTCTCAAGGAAAATCAAATCACAAAACAGGAGATGAATCAATGTGTTCTGGAAATGCTTATCGCGGGAACAGATACATCATCGGTTACAATGTTTTACTTTCTTCTCGCACTTTCGGATCGAGAAGATTTAGAGAAGAATTTATTAAAAGAATTAAAACAAGACTCTCATACAATTCTCATCAATGGTCTAAAAGAATCTATGCGATTTAAACCTGTTGGTCCTGTTATTATGAGATGTGCGATCCAAGACGATATTTATAACGACATTCCCATTGAAAAAGGTACAAATATCATTATTAACCTGGTTGATATGCACCGAAAATCAAAAGACTTTTCAAAGCCGGATGAATTTGATTTAATCAATGTTGAAGATAAAGATTTGTCAAATACAAACTCGGAAAAGAATGTTTTCCTTCCATTTGGGATTGGACCGAAAGAATGCGTTGGTAGATGGTTGGCGAAGGTTGAAATGGAAGCTATCATTGCAAAATTGATCTTAAACTATTCATTTAAACGTGCTAATGGAACAAAAACTTTAGAAGAGCTACAAACACGCTGGGATATTGCACAACAACCAACAGATCCTGGATACATGTCTATCGAAAAGCGATCTATATAGAGATTTTCTGTTTGAATCGATACATTCATGTTACTTGTCATTCTAAAGAGGAAACAGACCATATTTACATATATTTTTCTTTTCTTACGTGCATCATAGGTCTCTCACACGATTAGGACCATGCTGAAGTCTTACTGTTGGTTCAATAGCATCACTGGGTTTTTTCCCAAAAGAATTTCACAGTACTCACAAATCCTGTTAAAGGACTGTGATGAGTCATTGTGCATATATATATATAGAACGAAAACAAGTGACACTTATTCTCTCTCTCTCTCTCTGCTTATTTATTCAATACAAGCAAAGAAGCGTGTTACCTTACTCAAATATAAAAGCCATAGAACGAGTCTTTCTATTTCACTCATCGGAGGCTTTTACTAAGTAGGTTTTGAAATTTTTTTTTTTAGTAAGATTTAACTTATTGAAAACTTTGTCATCATATCGAATATTTCCTCTAACTTTCATTCATTTCTTATTTAAAATTTGCTTAGTTTATCGACTCAATTTTTGTACTGAGAAAAATATAGAAAATTAGTCTACCTTGGATGCAAAATTTCATCTCAAATATATAATTTCAACTGTCAGTCCTATCGAGCAGCGCATATAGTTGTTGTCAACTTTGATGGCATTGCGCTTTTTATTTTCTCCAATCAATGATCACATATATAAGAAAAAGAAGGACGAGGTCGCATATACGAAAAAAAAGATACAGATGACAGGAAGACAAAAAAGAACAAGGAAATGGATCGAAAAATGTCGCTACAGCTTCATCCGGTGGGTTTTAAGATTTGTTCTTGATTACCTTTATGTATATTTTGTAGAATAGAATATCTTTCAGATTTTTTTGTTATTCCCAGAACATAAGACCCGTAGCAAAACCAAAGTTTGTGAATTTATTCTTTCTATTTAGAACCAATGTCTCCAATTCATGTGATTATATCAGGGGCATCATCGGTTGGTAAATCTACATTAGTCGACGAATGTATACAACGTTTCAGTCAAGATAAAAAGTTGAAATACAAGAAATTTCAGCGTATTCAAGAAGTGGCACGTACTGTTCTTAATCGATTGAAACTGACTGGGAAAGATTTGCAACACTATATCCAAACAAAGAATTCGAATGCATTTTGCAGAACGCAGGAACAGATTATTAAGGAACAAGTATCTTACTTTGATAAACACAAAGAATCTAATTACTTATCGGATCGATCTGGTTTCGATGCCTTAGCATATGTTCATCTTTATTTTAACGATGAGCAAAGTGTACAAAGAATTTTCGACGCCCCAACGTTTCAACACTTGATTGATCAGTGTCGACTTGGTTTGATATTTATCGTACAACCACAAGAAGAACTACAAGCACAAAATGATGGAATGAGAATCGTACCGAGCTATCGAGAACAAGTTGAGTATACTCAATTTTTGCAAGATTGGTACCAGAAAGCGCAGTTACCGTACTTCGTCATAGCTGATCTTGATATGACTAAACGCGTTGAATTTATTCATGAACATATCAATGGTCGATTTCATTGGTCATCGTCCGGAATGTCAATTCCGCTATGTTTGCCATTCCACTTGGACAAACCGAAAGATTCGAATTGTATACGTTACATTGGGATCTTAGATAAACAAAATCTTCGAATTAGCTATGAGAAATATGATGCGAATCGTTTAGTAGAAAAATACGATCCATCGTGTTCAAAAAATAAATTTCTCTCTNTTCTTTCAAAAATCTTTAAATAGTAAAATATTAGATGATGCGAAATATATTTCCAATGATGCTGTTGATTACGTGTTAAAACATTTGAATCAATTTGAGATTCAAGCGAATGTTGTTGATACAATGGATCTTTTACGTGCAATGACATTTACAATAACATGTCATTTGTTTCTTGATTTACCTGTTGGATCAATTCCAATTGAGAAAACAAAACATTATGTTAATTCGATTGTTCAATATTTTAAAGCCTGGGAATATTTTCTATTGAAACCGATGGAATTCTATAAACATCATTTAACGGCAAAACATGAACAGTCAGTGAAAGACTTGAATGAAGTGGTCAAAGAAATCATTTCGCAAAGAGATCCAAGTCAAAATTGTTTATTTATCAATTCATTATTTCACGCTCTCGAGGAAAATCAAATCACAAAACAGGAGATGAATCAATGTGTTCTGGAAATGCTTATCGCTGGAACGGATACATCATCGGTTACTATGTTTTACTTTCTTCTCGCACTTTCGGATCGAGAAGATTTAGAGAAGAATTTATTAAAAGAACTAAAACAAGACTCTCATACAATTCTCATCAATGGTCTAAAAGAATCTATGCGATTTAAACCCGTTGGTCCTGTTATTATGAGATGTGCGATCCAAGACGATATTTATAACGACATTCCCATTGAAAAAGGTACAAATATCATCATTAATCTGGTTGATATGCACCGAAAATCGAAAGACTTTTCAAAGCCGGATGAATTTGATTTAATCAATGTTGAAGATAAAGATTTGTCGAATACAAACTCGGAAAAGAATGTTTTCCTTCCATTCGGGATTGGACCAAAAGAATGCGTTGGTAGATGGTTGGCGAAAGTTGAAATGGAAGTTATCATCGCAAAATTGATCTTGAACTATTCATTTAAACGCGCTAATGGAACAAAAACTTTAGAAGAACTACAAACACGCTGGGATATTGCACAACAACCAACAGATCCTGGATACATGTCTATCGAAAAGCGATCTACATAGAGGTTTTCTATTTGAATCAATAAATTCATGTTATCTGTCGTTCTAAAGAAGAAACAGACCATATTTTTCTTTTCTTTCGTGCATCATAGGTCTTTCACACGATCAGGGTCATGCTGAAGTCTTACTGTTGGTTCAATAGCATCACTGGGTTTTTTCCCAAAAGAATTTCATAATACTCACAAGCCTTATTAAAGGAATGTGATGAGTCATCCTGCATATCTATATATATGTAGAACGAAAACAAGTGACACTTATTCTCTCTCTCTCTCTGCTTATTTATTCAATACAAACAAAGAAGCGTGTTACCTTACTCAAATAGAAAAGCCATAAAACGAGTCTTTCCATTTCACTCATCGGAGGCTTTTACTAAGTATGTTTTGAATTTTTTTTTAGTAAGATTTAACTTATTGAAAACTTTGTCTCTATCTTTCATTCATTTCTTATTTAAAATTTGCTTAGTTTATCGACTCAAGTTTTTTACTGGGAAAAATATAGAAACTTAGTCTACCTTGGATGCAAAATTTCATCTCAAATATATAATTTCAACTGTCAGTCCTATCGAGCAGCGCATATAGTTGTTGTCAACTTTGATGGCGTTGCGCTTTTTATTTTCTCCAATCAATGATCACATATATAAGAAAAAGAACGACGAGGTCGCATATACGGAAAAAAAGATATAGATGAGAGGAAGACAAAAAAAAACAAGGAAATGGATCGAAAAATGTCGCTACAGCTTAATCCAGTGGGTCTTAAGATTCGTTCTTGATTAACTTTATGTATACTTTGTAGAATAGAATACCTCTCAGATTTTTTTGTTATTACCAGAACATAAGACCCGTAGCAAAACCAAAGCTAGTGAATTTATTCTTTCTATTTAGAATCAATGTCTCCAATTCATGTGATTATATCAGGGGCATCATCGGTTGGTAAATCCACATTAGTCGACGAGTGTATACAACGTTTCAGTCAAGATAAAAAGTTGAAATATAAGAAATTTCAGCGTATTCAAGAAGTTGCACGTACTGTTCTTAATCGATTGAAACTGACTGGGAAAGATTTGCAACACTATATTCAAACAAAGAATTCGAATGCATTTTGCAGAACACAGGAACAGATTATTAAGGAACAAGTATCTTACTTTGATAAACACAAAGAATCTAATTACTTATCGGATCGATCTGGTTTCGATGCCTTAGCATATGTTAATCTCTATCTTAACGATAAGCAAAGTGCACAAAGAATTTTCGACGCCCCAACGTTTCAACACTTGATTGATCAATGTCGACTTGGTTTGATATTTATCGTACAACCACAAGAAGAACTACAAGCACAAAATGATGGAATGAGAATCGTACCGAGCTATCGAGAACAAGTTGAGTATACTCAAGTTTTAGAATATTGGTACCAGCAAGCGCAGTTACCGTACTTCGTCATAGCTGATCTTGATATGACCAAGCGTGTTGAATTTATTCATGAACATATCAATGGTCGATTTCATTGGTCATCGTCCGGAATGTCAATCCCGCTATGTTTGCCATTCCACTTGGACAAACCGAAAGATTCGAGTTGTATACGTTACATTGGGATCTTAGATAAACAAAATCTTCGAATTAGCTATGAGAAATATGATGCGAATCGTTTAGTAGAAAAATACGATCCATCGTGTTCAAAAAATAAATTTCTCTCTNTTATTCATGAACATATCAATGGTCGATTTCATTGGTCATCGTCCGGAATGTCAATCCCGCTATGTTTGCCATTCCACTTGGACAAACCGAAAGATTCGAGTTGTATACGTTACATTGGGATCTTAGATAAACAAAATCTTCGAATTAGCTATGAGAAATATGATGCGAATCGTTTAGTAGAAAAATACGATCCATCGTGTTCAAAAAATAAATTTCTCTCTATTGCTTTTGACCAAAAATTGGATAATGAATTTGTTGAGCAGGTTTTATCCAATGTAGTTCGAATCAATGATGAAATCTATCATTTTATTGGTCATAGCAACAGTCAACTAAAAAGTCGATCTTGTTATTTATATGCTGGACCAATCGATGAAATAGAAAAAATACTTAATGATAATGGAGATTTTCAGAAGATCAAGAATTTAAGCAAACGTGTTGCTCGAATTGGACTTTTATTTTCAAGTTGTACACCATCAATTCACATCGAATCGGATCATGTTGTCGATATCGATGATGTCGAAAGAAATGGATACACTTTCACTGATGGGTAAATTCGCATTTTTTTCACACAAAGAAAAGTCTTCCTGAAATTATATTCTAGTTGTGGAATTATTGGTCGAAAATTAGCAAAGGAAATCGTTCCGTATTTATCTGGTTTCAAAAAACCAATGTTGACAATAGATGAAGATAACTCCCACGAAGAAAATCCGTGTCCCTGCGCATTTCAAATTCGTTATCAAGGTTATAAAGGTAATTGCAATCGATTTTCTCCTAAACCTTCTTTTCGAAAACGAGAATTCAGGTGTTCTGATGATCAATGATGACGATAATGACGATGCCATTCGAGTTCGTCCATCGATGAAGAAATTCACCGGAACGATAAGTACTTGTTTATGCGTGTGCGATGATGGATACTCCGGACCGAGACTTGGCTTTCTTATCAAACAATTCATCATTCTTCTGTCTGGATTGAACATTCCAGATGAAATATTTCTCAAGAAACAAGAAGAATCCTTCCGAGATATTGTTCATATGTGTGATGATATGAATATCGCTTTGAAGTATTGCCTTTATTTCGATCGAATCGATTTAGTTCATCATTTGTTGGCGAATAATATCGAAGTTGTTCAAACACAAGTGCAATCAATGCAGAAAAAGGCGTTGGAATCGGTGGAGAAATTGAAAATTCCCATAACAAAATCGCGTTTAGCCTTTGGAGTTTGTGATCCATGTTCGTTTCCCTTTTATTTTCTCTTCAATCCACTGCTTGATTTCATCTTTAGACGGAATTTTAAAGCCCGATGAAGTTTATTTTCGTCCGACGTTCAACGGACGACAACTGATGCTCGATTCGAAAATTTGTTTCGTGGCCAAATCTCCCAGTTATCATCTAGGGGACATTCTCGTTCTAAAATTAACCTCATACAAACAATTGGAACATCTCTACGATGTGGTCGTTTTCTCAACAAACGGCGCTCGTCCGCGTCCGAACGAAATCGTAAGTCTGCAATTTTCTTCCGATTTAATCAATGTGCAGATCGCTTTCGTCAGGCTGGAAGTGATTTAGATGGCGACAAGTATTTGATTTGTTGGGACAACGATCTAATTCCGAAAAAGATCAATAAGCCAATGGACTATAGTTCAACTGCAAAAGCGCAGGAATCAGCGTTGATCGAAAGAAAAGATCGCATAGCTCAGTTCGCTAGTGCGCAGAAAAACAATCAATCGGGCTTAATTGATAAGTATTACAATTACTGGGCAAATCGTTTAGGAGTGCAATCCATACAATGTCGGAGATTAGCGGAATTGTTTTCTCAAGCGGTCGATGCGCCGAAAACTGGACAAAAGATTCGCGTTCCAGCCGAATTAAAACCGCCAAGAAGCGAAGAATCATCGAATACAACCACCGCAGGTACCGACCTAATTCCGAATGTCTCATTGAACATCGAAGGTTCATTTAGGAAGCAACACAGCTGAAGGAGAAGAATATGTTTGGATGAAAATGTTGAATAATGCGAAGAAATTTCGTGATGAATTTCAAACGAAATTACTTACTGAAAATCGATATACAGGTCTATCCAAGACTACATTATTGAACATCTTCTATGAACGGCGATGTCCATCATTATTAACTTACAACAATACTCAATCGTTGAATGAATATGAGTTGATCGTTTCAACAATAAAGTGGATTAATGAGCAGGAAGACTCCGATGAACTTCTTCGAACTTTCATTTATTTGTTCGATTTCAGTCAACTAACAATGAAACAAAAACAAGACATTGAACTGTCTTTGAAAATTCCTCGATTATATCTCTACTCAATCTTGAATAAATCGAAAATTCTATCGAATGACCTGATCGACAAGTATCATTTGTCTCAAACATCATTATCATGGAGATTATTCTACACATCTCCGAAATTATTTCAAATGGAATCTCAAATTGAATATGAACAAACATTTCAACCGATGATTTATGTTTTAAAACAGAATTCTTCACATGAAAGAACGTTAATTTGTATTTCAATTAATGATACCCTTACATTAGTTTTGGATATTTACCAAAATGCCCTTTCTCTAGTAACTGAACAAATAAATTCAAATCAATCATCGACTTTATGGCAAATTCGAGCAGGTAAAACCTTTTTTTCTCGTTCACATTTAAGATAAAAACAAAAGATTGTTTTTAGGACTTTGTTATGCATATCTGGAATCAAAATTGTATTCAATTCGAAGAAAATTTCTTTTCGATAATGATTATTTCATTAAAATAAGCGAAGATCGTCTACAAATTTATCAAAACGATCCCCGCAATTCATTTATTGTTTTCATGTATGACACAAATAAAGAAAATAAGATAATTAGTGTGGATTTAACTCGATTCGATCGAAATATTTTACGCGAACGTCAACATCCGAAAGTCAATCGGCATGAATTTCATTATTTCGAAATCTTTGTCTTATCAAACGATCAACAAATCTCGTCGAGTTATTATCCAATCATCAGTTATTATGACGAAGAATATTTTACACAGAACTATTTCAATCCGCGAGTTGAAAATTACGAATACGTTGAATATCTGACCGAACAGTAAGTTACACGTTCTCGATCGATTCTTTCGCATTGCACATTCACATCTTGCTTATAGAGATAAAGACGAAGAAGAAAAATATAAGAATGAACAAAAGCGAATGGAAGAGAAACGAAAAGAATTTCAAACAGAATTTGAAAAGATTTCATTGGAAAATGCGGAGAACTTATTGAAAAGTTTCATGTCAGTTCATGACACGGAATATCTGTGTAAAATATGGAATTATTTAAAGGATAATCATGTGGATATGGAAATGATCAATGAGGAAATTCTCAATTATTTTTTCCGAGAGATTCACTCGATGTTGAATGGTTCGATTCATCGATTATCTATCGATGAAAGTTGGTTTCACGATTTAATCATTTCCTTCATTCATATTGAAAACAAAAATGCAAAGATTTTCAATCAGCTCTTTCAATCAACGAAAAAACTGAACTCAAAACTCAAAGATAAAAGTCAACCATCGTACATTCCGTACTTAGGAAGAATATTGCAACGTTTGTTCAAAGAGAATTTTCACGACATCGATCATTTTTACTCGATCAACAACGAATTCATCTACCATTTATACTTATCCATATTATTAGGAAACAATTACAACACAGATGACGTGTCCTTAAATTATCTTTCAGAAATTTCTTCTCTAACAAATATTCAATTAACATTGAAACAACTGATTGATTTAATTCGTTCGTGTCTAATGACGAAGGACTCGGACATTTGTTTGAAATTTCTCGACAGTCTATTAAATCTTTCCATGTCGAACCAAGAGCAACATTCACCTGCGATAATCGACTATATAAAACAGTTTTTATCGATGATTGTTCGAACAACGGTTTACGATCTCGACGAAATCGATAGAAGAATTCGATTAAAACCAGAGATTTTGATTCGAAATGGCGAAACNATTCGTTCGTGTCTAATGACGAAGGACTCGGACATTTGTTTGAAATTTCTCGACAGTCTATTAAATCTTTCCATGTCGAACCAAGAGCAACATTCACCTGCGATAATCGACTATATAAAACAGTTTTTATCGATGATTGTTCGAACAACGGTTTACGATCTCGACGAAATCGATAGAAGAATTCGATTAAAACCAGAGATTTTGATTCGAAATGGCGAAACGATTCTCAATTTACGAGCAAAATTCATAAAGAAGAAAAACGATGAAGAGGACACACAGACGAACGTACGTCAAACTCGACCTCCTCGCGAATCGAATTCACACATTTATCTGAACCACTTTGATTTCATTTTAGAATGACGACGAAAGTAACGTTGAAGAAAATAACGAGGCGATATTTCAATTCGAAGAATATCATTATGAAAAAATTCCTTCGCATCATTTCAATATCGGTGATTCAATTGCATTGATCGATCAAGAAGAGTTGAATGATTATCTCGGCAAACAGAATCGAACTGATGAAAAACCACCATTACGTTTATTTTATCAATCATTTGGAATTATTTTAAGTATTCATCCAATTTTGCAAATCAAATTCCCATATTTTCCCAGTTCGTTAACGAATAACAATTATTTAAATCGTCAAAAACTCTTCCGTTTGGAACGCTTACCGAACTTCGTCACATTGAATCGATCAATTGACGCATTTGAAAAACTCATTGATAATCAAGATTATTTAATCATTAAACCATTGTTGAATTTATCTGATGATCTCAACAGTGATCAATTGAAAAACTATGCCGAAGAAAAGGTGAAGAAACTCGAAGATCAGTTCCATAATGATAATGAATACAAACAAGCAAATTTGAACGACAGCCAACGACAGGCGATTGAAAATGCACTTGAAAATCGTTTAACATTGATTCAAGGACCGCCAGGAACTGGAAAAACAGAAACATCAGCATGGATCATTCATCTATGGTTGAGAAATTTTGCACAAGACAACCAACCGATTTTAGTTTGTGCTGAAACACACCAAGCAGTTGATAATCTAACGCGACGATTGATTAAATACCAGTATCGACTAGTTCGATATGGAGAACCGCGAACCGTGGCTCCGGATCTTCACGTGAGGATTCCTCATCCGACGTTGAACATTTCGAATAGATCCTTTTCGTTTAGGAATATACAATGCCTCGGCAGATTGAATTGATTCGACGTGAAAAGCAAAAATCAAATCCAAATCTTCCATCCAAATCTTTATTTGGTCCACCACGACCGAAAGAAATCCGCGAAGTTTTGTCGAACTGTCAGATTCTATGTATGACTTGCTCCGGTGTTGGAATCTTAGAACCATCGTTGAAATTTCCATTCATTTTGATTGACGAAGCATCTCAAATTACTGAACCAAATATTCTCATTTCATTAGTACGAATTACCGATCAAATTGTTCTTGTCGGTGATCAAAAGCAAGTTAGTACACTTCTTCCTCTGAATATTTAAGACAACTGAATGATTTGTTTTAGCTACCACCTATTATCAAAATGACTGCAGCAAAACAATTATTAGAACGATCATTCTTCCAACGTTTGTTAGAAAATGTTCGTATTAGCTCGATCATGTTAAACACCCAATACCGAATGCACCCGAGATTGATCGATTTTCCATCGCGTATGTTTTATAAGAATCTCCTACGAAGTGGTGTTACACCTGAAGATAGACCGACGCCAAAAGAAATCCAATTTATTGATCCAAAGGTTCCATTGATGTTTGTTGATGTTGATCAAGGCTCTGAGACACTTCAGGGGTCAAATATCTATAATAAACGAGAAGTGGAGATGGTTTGCCAGACAATTCAAACACTATTACCTTCACAGAAACCAGATTTATCTCCGTAAGGGATACTCCTATACGAATTTCATAAACGATTGTCGTTTCTCTCTTTAGAATGGATATTGGGGTGATTACACCGTATACAAAACAAGTCAAGGAGATAGCTGAAAAACTATTGAACACGACTCCGAAAGGTGTCGAAGTTCGAACAGTTGATGGCTTTCAAGGACGGGAAAAGGAGATCATTCTCATTTCATTAGTGCGATCAAATGACGAGAACGAGATTGGATTTTTAACCAGCGAACAACGAATGAATGTGCTTTTAACGCGAGCAAAACGAGCAATGATCGTTTTCGGAAATAGAAAAACCCTGATGTCAAATTCTCTTTGGAAACAATGGATTGAAAGTGTACCAAATATCAATGCAGATCAATTTATCCAAAATTGTTTATCAAAGCAAGTCAATGTACAGCAACCTTCTTCAAATCATCAAGCACAATATCGAAATTCCAATCGACGACGGAGATAAATTAAGCGTTTAGATAGTTTTTCTACATTTTTATAAATAATCTAATCGAGAAATCTCCATAAATAAACTGTAGCGAATATTTGGAGACAAATCTAAATATTTTGATGATACTTAAAAACACCGTTCTGTTATGCATATGCTGTGGAATTTATCAATTAGCTGCACATCTATTTTCATTGATCATGTACATTTGAAATACATAACGAAAATGTCTAGACGGTTGCGACCACCTTAATCTCTGCTTAGCTAGTGGTTCGACTTTGTATGCATATCTTATCAGTTTTACATAGAAAATAGAAATCATTGACACACATTAATGGGCGACAAACTTTTTCGTTTTTCAACTCGAGATTTGTGCGCTCATCGTCTCTTCTTATAATAGCCCTCTAGTGACATCTATCGAGTTTAAATAATCTATAAATTTCGGTCGAATTAATATACATGTAATCCACCCGCCAGATTATTATTCAGGTAAACCAAAACAGATGTCTTGTTTTGCAGAATTCAATGAATGAAAAACGTTTCACCGTCGTATTACGGGATACGTAGATCACCAATCAGTATCAACTCGAAATACACACCTCATTCTCATTTGCTGTTTAAACTAATCTGATGCAAGATCCTTTTTCTGATGACAGATGTTTGATGCAATCGACGGACTATAAAATGAGAAAGAATCTAACGGAATGTTTTAACTTAATTTCAGAATGTCTTTTCCAGTCGCAGAAGAAGCAATTCAAAACACAACCGAAGAAGTTGAAGACATCGTTGATCCATGGAATGTGGCAAGTACCTCTGACAAAGGAATTGATTATGATAAGTTGATTCGTAAGTTAATCAATTCTATAATTCTTCAATGAAATCGATTTTTTTTGGTTAATCGAAGGTCGTTTTGGTTCATCAAAGATTTCACCTGAATTAATTGCACGTATCGAATCAATCATCAAAAGACCAGTTCATTATTTCATTCGACGAGGCATCTTCTTCTCACACAGGTTCATTTCAAAACTTTTGCTCTTTTTCATCATCATCTTTTCTTCTCTTTCCTTCTAGAGATCTCGAGTTGATTCTCAATGCTTATGAACAGAAGAAACCATTCTTCTTATACACTGGTCGTGGTCCATCATCCGAAGCCATGCATCTTGGTCATTTAATTCCATTCATCATGACCAAGTAAGAAGAAAACGTCACTATGAACAAACAGAGACTCTAATGATGATTTCTATAGATGGTTACAAGATGTGTTTGATGTTCCATTGGTCATTCAAATGACTGACGATGAGAAGTTTCTCTGGAAAGACATAACAATTGAGGATGCCAATCGATATGCATATGAAAATGCAAAAGATATCATTGCATGTGGTTTTGATCCCACAAAGACATTTATTTTCTCCGATTTTGATTTTATGGCGTAAGTTATTTCATCAACTCATTAGTTTCATTACCTCTCGTCTCTTTTACAAATTAGTCAATGTCCAAACTTCTATCGTAACATTTGTCGAATTCAAAAGAGTGTCACATTCAATCAAGTGAAAGGTAAACTTCGAAAAACTGATGATCATGATGTCATTTTCGATTAATAATAGGCATTTTTGGTTTTACTGAAAGTGATTGTATTGGAAAGATTGCTTTTCCTGCAATTCAAGCTGCACCCAGTGTTAGTTCATCATTTCCATTTATATTCGGTGAAAAATTGAAACAAGAATTTGCTTGTTTGATTCCATGCGCTATTGATCAAGTAAGAAGATTAAAATGGAACAGAACTTGTGTTATGTTTTCGGATAGGATCCATATTTTCGTATGACTCGTGATGTTGCACCACGTTTGAACTTTCCCAAACCAGCATTGATGCATTCAACGTTTTTTCCTGCACTTCAAGGTGCCAAATCGAAAATGGCTGCATCGGATACAAATTCAGCTATTTTTCTCACTGACACACCGAAACAAGTCAAAGACAAAGTAACTTTTTTGTCATAGAAATCTCTTTCGATCTTTCATCATTTTTCTTTCTTCTTCAGGTTAATAAACATGCGTTCAGTGGCGGAAAAGAAACAATCGAAGAACATCGAGCTAAAGGTGGTGATTGTGACGTTGATGTTTCATATCAATATCTTCGATATTTCATGGAAGATGATGAACGACTTGAACAAATTCGTCAAGTAAATGTTCTTTTTTTATTCGATCTTCAACATCTGATGATTTGCTCTCGTTTAGGATTATTCATCAGGAAAATTATTAACTGGTGAATTGAAAAAGATCTTAATCGAAGTTTTACAAGGTTTAGTTGCTAAACATCAAGAACGTCGAAAAGAGATAACATTGGATGTTGTTCGTCAGTTTATGACACCAAGACAACTCAATTTCCGTTATTAATTTTATTATTATGGTTTTAAACATATATCAAAAGGGGGAGGGGGAAATAAAACTTTCTCGGAAAATCTCACTGAAAAGTATTCACTGCAATTAAATAGTAACGCCGGTTTTTCGAAAAGCTTGAAGAAATCATTTCATTTGATTTCAGTTTGATTCAATTTCTTCAGTCCCTTTGCTTAAAACTTGATGATCAGCTAGATCTTGTTCTTTTTCAAAATAAAACATTGATCAAAGCATTCTGTTTCTGTTCACCATTCCCTTGTTGTTTAACATAATAACGAAGACGATGTGAATCAAATGTTGAGCCAATTTTTCCACCAAATGAAAATTGAATTCCTTCCTGTTTCCATCATTGTTGGTAACATTTGTTTATAATGATCCATTTTGAGAAGTGAACACATCTCGAGATAAACCATGATCTAATTAATAAGCATGCCATGATATTGAAACATTAACACGTGGCGAGTCAATTTGAGACAATGTTTTCTCTAAAAGACATTTGCGAACATAACACCAAACTATAGAGAAACAAATAGGAGAACATCTTTTTTTTTATTCATTATCAATTCTATTCACGAGGGATTTTATCATTCGTAACATCAAGTTTCAATTTCAGTCCTAATAGATTTTAACAATGTGTTGACACCAAATCTCAATTGAAAAGAAAACTATATTGTCTATTCACATTAATTTGATACATATTATGTATGTTTTGATGAATCCAAGGAATCATCTATAATTGTTCATATTAAATTCATCGATATTCTTCATATGTTAAACGTTTTGAGAGTTCAATTAAGATGTGTATGAAACAAAAGGATCTTATAAACGAAAATACGTAAAATTATACAATATGATTTTAACTATTCTGTGTTTCATCAGATTTTTAAGATCTCGTTTCTCCCGTAATTTTCTCCAAAGAATTCATTTTATTGAAATGATAGTATTTTATAATAGAGGAAAGTATTCATAAAAATGTTTCGGAGGAACAAATGGCTCATTTATTTGAAGTGAGGTTAATTTATTACAGATGAAACGCGTCGAATCATTAGTAAAATCATTTGTAACCAGTGTAAGTGATCCATATCCAATAGAAAGATTGAGTAAACAAGGTAGATGAATATATTCATCAACGAGAAATTGTTTAGCATAATCTACATGAGCACAATCAAGATTGAGCTAAATAAGACAAGGAAATGTAATTGATGTTTTCGATTGTTGTTTGCCTTTTTGCGGTTGATCATTCGTTATATACAAGCTTTTCAAATAAGGAAAACTATGAGAAATAATTTGAAAGAAATTATATTCAAATGGATTTAAATCTGTCATAAATAGAGATTGAACCGTATTGAACGTCCCACCTTGAAAAGAATTATTCAAGTCAACATAAGTTTGAAATTGATATGGAAGTGAATAGATATGACATCGACTATAAAATTCAGGTAGACGAGAATAAGTATGACTTTCGTTTGAGAAAATTTCGACATGTGAATTAACTCGTCCATATTTCTTTCTAACAAAACTAAGTTGAATATCTTCATATGATGATAAATCAATATTAGTATTCTTCACTATGTTTGTATCTATATTAAAAGTAAATTTGTTTAATTGTGGCATATCGTTAAGGACATTGTCATGTAATTCGGCACCATCAATGTAATTTGTGTTTGTTCTTATAACTGATAGAAATAAGATCAATTCTTCGACATTTATCATTCGTTGAAGTAATGGAATAATTAGATCATCATAATAACTTGTACGAGAATAGGAGATGAGAGAGAAACGTTTTAATTTCAGAAGCTTTGTCTATAAACAGTGAAAATATGTTGAACTATTAACTTTATTAGCTATTTTACATACGACAAAATAACTAATAATGACACTAACCGTACTATTTACAAGTCCGAATGGATTTATTTGGTCCACGTATATAAACAATGTTGACAATAATCTAACTTCACTAATGATTTGCATAGATATATAACATAAGCAACTATGATTCCAAGTATTTCAGGAGGCTGCTGTGATATTGTTTCATGTTTAATATCGATTAAAAGACATGTAACTTGATTAGTAAGAAGTTCGCGAAGGATTGTATTATCTTTTATTTATAGATAAAGAAATAGCAAGAGTAATTCGTGTTTTTTTAAGTCGAAAAACGAAAAGTAAATGACTTACTACGTAAATGATCGACAAATTCTTCTTGTGGAAAATTCATGAATGATATTGAGTAAAGTTTGAGATAACTAGCAGTTTGAAGAACACGTTGTACTGTGTTTGGTTCAATTGTAAGTTTATTTACTTGATGACAAATTCGAGGTACAATTTTTTGAAAGTTCCTTGAAAGTATTCGATCTTCTATTGAATAAGTACGATCATAAAATGATCTCATCGTCATAGATGTCATATCAAGATGATGAGTACAATTTGTATCAAATACTAATTGATCAAGTCGTTTACAAACACCCACGAGTGAATACAAAACATTGACCATGCTGAGTCTTTTCATTATAATTAATAAAACTTCATCAGGCAAATCAAGTACATGGAGATTATTAATGGAGATGTCCGTCATTTTGTTATCTATTTCGTATACTGATGGTCATTTATATATGCAAAATTCCTACTCATCATTGCCGTCGAAGAGAACAATGAAATATAAAATATTTAGCTATATTCTATATTGAATCATGGACCTGATTTTTCTTTTTGTGAAACGTTCTTTTTTTTCTCGATGACCTTGTCATCATATGTATGTATATGAATATGCACGAAGGATATTAGATGTCTAGTTTGGTAGGAAGAAGATGAGGATGAATTTCAGCGAAAGATGCACATCTGAGAAGCATTAAGCTCTGGTTATTTTTTCCTTGGAGGTAAAAAACCAAAATTATAGCTTCGTAGGGGTGTGGGTGAGATTGAAGATGAGAGTAACTGTGCTGGATTCTGTTGGACAAATTCTGGTCAGTCGTTGCAAAGTTTAGGACCGCTTTTAGCGATCTGTTATATTATGTCTTTGAAAATCTACCGGATTCGTCTGACAATAACTATGAAATCCGATTGAATTTATAATTGAAGAAATGATTTTAATATTCGACGAGGTGAAAAATATTGTAATCAGAATAGAAATTTGCGTTATGGCAAGATTAGAAATTTATATATCGGAAAGCTTTGATATTAATTCACTGATAGTTTTAATGAAAAGATAGTTGTACGTTCAATCATCATTTCTTCTAAATATTGCTTTTTAGCAAATCGACAACCCAAGTCGAACAATCCCGTACTCCGATCCAATATAGGGTTTTATCAGATTCTACAGGAATTCGACGGCTCCGATAGGATCCCATGTCGGTTCCGAAACATGGATTTCCTGGATTTTCTAAGGGTCATCATAGAACAGCTAAAAAGATAGCTCATAAAATTTGCAACAACCGACGGAATTCTCCTAGTCGGGCGCCAATGCAATTCCGTTTCCAGGAATCCGATCGGATCCAGCATCGGATTTGTTGACCTGGGAAGATACATAAATCACTGATTGATATTATTGTTTATTAGAAATAGGCAAAGAAAAGAAAGAAAAGCATCACATTATCTAATCTTTGCCATTTCCATCATCATTCTTGCACTGTTTCGCCGCTACCAACGTCATCTTCGTTGGCTTTTCTTTGTTTTCGTGCGAAATCAAGACCACTGGTAAATGAATGTGCATCTTTTTCTATATTGAAATAAATACAGTTAATATTAACAAAAAATTTTGTTTTCAATTGAATTCACCTTTGGTCACGTTGTCTGCCACTACCTTCAATTTTTTACGAGCTGCTAAGAATGGCTTATCACGGTGTTGTGCTGTCCGTTCAGCCACTAAACTGCACACAACGAATTTAAATTCTTGGTCTTTCGCTTTTCGTTTTAGGTTTTTGATGATTGCAAGTGATTCTCCATTTTGTTCTGCCGCGTCAACTGATTAGTGTGAAGCTAGCACGAAGGAGCTACCACGAAGCAACTGTGTGTAAGCTAAAAACTTTTTTCCAATGTTTGTCCGGTGAATAAAAATACCACCACTCGATGCAGAATTAAATTCTGAATCGAATCGATTAGGCTTTATGAACCGGACAAACTTTGGAAAAAAAGTTTTTAGCTTACACACAGTTGCTTCGTGGTAGCTCCTTCGTGCTAGTTTCACACTGATCGTCAACACTGCCTGAAGCTTTATCTCGTTTAGTTTTTTGTTCACATTCGACTTGTGATAATGCTTGAACCTAAATTTCAACAAAATCAAAGATTTCTCGAAAGAAAACGATTTTATACATACTCAGGTCGATCATTCCGGTGATTAGATCCGTTTGAACTTGAGTTGGTTTCGGTCGGAAATTTACAGGAGATGTCCGGTCAATTCCTGACTGTTTCCAGCTCAAAGTCTTTAGGAAATGGTCAGGAAGTAACCGGAAACTTCGTTTGAACTTCCGGCAGCAAGGAAGTCGTCTGAAAGCGAACTTAATCGGTCGGAACCAACCGAGCCACAATAATCTGGGTACGTTGCCTTTTGTTGCTATCATTGTTTGAACGAATTTCGTGTTGTCGTCCGTGACCAATAATAGACATGTAGATACTGATATCAAGTTAAAATAGGCGATGGTTTTCACTTTCTCTTTCTCTCCTGTTACATCTCCCTTCGACGTTTTCCATACAACAGAAAGAGAAAGATAGAAAACAACACGAAATAAACGAAGAAAGTAGATAGGTTGACTACGACTTTTCTTCTGTGCAAAGTCGAATCAAAAGAAAAGAGAAAGAATGAAAACTACCGATCCGGCTCTATCTTTCGATTCGACAATTCTTCAATGAAATCGATTTTTTTTGGTTAATCGAAGGTCGTTTTGGTTCATCAAAGATTTCACCTGAATTAATTGCACGTATCGAATCAATCATCAAAAGACCAGTTCATTATTTCATTCGACGAGGCATCTTCTTCTCACACAGGTTCATTTCAAAACTTTTGCTCTTTTTCATCATCATCTTTTCCTCTCTTTCCTTCTAGAGATCTCGAGTTGATTCTCAATGCTTATGAACAGAAGAAACCATTCTTCTTATACACTGGTCGTGGTCCATCATCCGAAGCCATGCATCTTGGTCATTTAATTCCATTCATCATGACCAAGTAAGAAGAAAACGCCACTATGAACAAACAGAGACTCTAATGATGATTTCTATAGATGGTTACAAGATGTGTTTGATGTTCCATTGGTCATTCAGATGACTGACGATGAAAAGTTTCTCTGGAAAGACATAACAATTGAGGATGCCAATCGATATGCATATGAAAATGCAAAAGATATCATTGCATGTGGTTTTGATTCAACAAAGACGCGAATACATCCTATTCCGCAATGTTGCACATTTGGGAATCAGTTCCGCACACGGAATCACTTCCTACGATTCCGGAATTCCGTAAACGAAATTCAGTCGATCCTCGGCTATACTGGCAAGTCCTACTTAAGCAAGTATGCAATTCTGGAATTCATTGAACTTGTGTAAGGACGAAATTCCGGAATCGTAGGAATTGATTCCGTAGGCGGAACTGATTCCCAAATGTTCAACATTGCGGAATAGGATGACTGCTCCAAGTCAACATAAGTTTGAAATTGATATGGAAGTGAATAGATATGACATCGACTATAAAATTCAGGTAGACGAGAATAAGTATGACTTTCGTTTGAGAAAATTTCGACATGTGAATTAACTCGTCTATATTTCTTTCTAACAAAATTAAGTTGAATATCTTCATATGATGACAAATGAGTATTAGTATTCTTCACTATTATATTAAAAGTAAATTTGTTTAATTGTGGCATATGATCAAGGATATTATCATACAAGTAGCGCTCATCCTTTGGATTCGGTGACCCTTTTCTGGAAGAATTTTCCCAGTGCTGACCACATTCAAATACTTTGAAAGACAACTTAGGCGCTGCGATTGCTACCAGTCCCCAACTGATCCATGCCACTATGTCACACACTAGAGTCAATAGAAGACAGAGATTGTTCTTTTTCAGGAACCGAACCGATTAGCCATTTATCAATGAGTCATCCTCGAGAAGTAACTGTGTTGACTGGAAACCCCATCCCTCAATGGCTAGTCGCTCGTCAACCTCCCTTCAGTCGGCCACTCACGACCAGCCATTCACCTTTTCATCTGTTGTTCTATTTTTACATTACTCGCATGAAAATTCTACACATTAGCCTGTCTCTTTTAGCAAGAAATTGACTCTTTTCTCTGCTTTCAACAGAATGANATACAGCTCTATGAAAGATGTTCGTTTCGAAGCAAATCATATAATAAGACTTTCTTATCTAGTTTCTTTGGGTAGTCGAATGAATAGAAGATCATGACTGGCGAAGCGACAATAAAAGAAAACCCAATCGTTCAGTTTGAAAGTCGATCGAAGGCGAAAGGAATAACAGAGACAGCATGGTAACGGCTAGCCGTGAGTGACCGACCGGAGGGAGGTCGACGAACGACTAGGCGTTTAAATGTTGGTAGATTAATCCTAAAGTGTACACTTAGAATAACCTTGCCAGGCTTCAGATAATTTTGAAAGGGATTTGACGAATGGATATTCCTCAATGAAAATATTCGACAAAGTATCATTTTGTTGACAGAAGAGAAAAGAATCGGTTTATCGCTGGAAGACACAGGCGAATGTTCAAACTTTTCAAGAAGTCTACTGTATATCATCCGTCTATGAGTGACTTAGTAAAGCATTTATGAAAAATTTCCATGCGCGTGATGTGAAAATTGAAAAACAGATGACAAAGGTCAATGGTTGGCCGTGAGTGGCCGTCTGATTAGCCGTTGAGCGATGAATTTTTCAGTCAATATAGTTAGTGCTGGAGAATTATCCACTGACAAATGGCTAATCGGTCTGATTCCTAAAAAGACTTCTGCATCCTATTCATTCTAGTGTGTGACATAGTGCCATGATTCAGTTGAGCACCAGTAGCAATCGCAGTGCGTATTTTCTCTTTCGAAGTCTCTGAATGTGTTCAGTATCCGGAAAAGTCTTTCAGAAAAGGGCCAGCGAATCCAAAGGATGACTGTTACTTGTGAATAACTGGCATCAGATGATATTCGTATAGTATAGATGTTTCTGAAAGTGTGTGATCTCATTAATATGCTTGTGACTATGGAGATCCAGCGATCGGACGTTAGTCAGCTATTACATTTTGTTCTACATATTGCCATTTAAAACATTATCGTCTAAAAAATTGAGCCTTTGTCGCAAAAAACGGGTCAGAAAGTGTTCATGACAAACCTAACATCCGATTCGAGTTCCTCGACCTCGATTACCCTCCGGTTGACCCTTATTCGACAACAAAGAAAATTTTCATTGCTTAATTAGTAATTAGCTAATTAGCAAATTGAAATTTCGAGAAACTGACACCGGATTCGAAATCCTCGGCCTCGTTTACCTTATCAGTGGTCAATCTTTGATGACTATAGATAAATTTCATTGATTCATAATATGCTGCAATCTGATTGGATTATGCAAACAAACAAACAAACTTTATGCATTTGTTCATCACTGTATTTATGACGCTATAACCCTTTCTTTCAGAAAAGGGAATTACAACTATGTTCCGCTGTTACTGAACGAACTGCCATTAAGCGTGATCACGAATTGCAATCTTTTCACAACGAAATAAATAAATTGCTTAGTGAAACAATCAGTCGTAAGTGATATTAACTACAAAATGTTATATGTGAATCGTTTTTTTTCCGATATACCCAGGTAAAAAAATCCCATGCTGGATCCGACACCGTCGGAATCCAATGCGATTCCGTCACCAGGATTTCATCGGATCCGTCGAATTCCTGTAGGATCTGATAAAATTCTATATTGGATCCGAGTATGGGATTGTTCGACCTAGGTAGGGCATTTCATGCTTGCGCCAGGTGTTCGTCTGAAAGCTTCGGAGAAAATCCAAGTTCAACCATCAATGGCGGCGCATGCATCGGATACTGGTACCAATGAAACAAGTTCATCATTGATTTAAACAGAAATTTAATAATCAAACTTATCACCTTCAAGATGGAACATACTTCAATGATACACATGGACAAGATGACATGGAATAGACATTCTGTTTTCTCTTTTCCTTGTCAATTCTCATCGGTTATTAAGAATAAACTCATTTATTTGTCGTGTTAATTTTCCTACGCACTTTGAAAGAAAAACAAATGATCTCGTCGAGTTGGTAAAAATATGAATAGAAGTAACTCGGCGAAATGATTCTTGAATGTAGATTTCAATCAAAAGTGTTCGAGTTGTAACCAAGAAGGTCTGAAATATTCTGTGATGTGTTTCTTTGGTTGATCCTGTTGGATTGTTTTTAGTTTCGTCAGAGATTCAAATACTTTGATGAATCAGGAATTGAACGTTTCTAAAGGTACGCAATAATCTTATGAATGGGATTCTGCTTACGGTTCATTCTCGGATCCACCGATTCCATAATCGCATCTATTGTCGAATTTTTGAAACTAAGCTGAAAATTTATTGCTAACTGAAGATGATTTGAAAAACTTCCATTCAGCTTAGGCTGGAGAATAGTAGAAGAACCTTTCATCACTGATACAAAGACATCAATCTCTAGTATTGAAAGATTATCGAACACGAAGTTAGAGTTCGACAGAATATTAAAATGTACCATTGAAATATATGAATAAATTTCTTCTACTCAGTTATCAAGCACATATCTAATCAAATTGAGTATTTTATTCAGGAAGTTCATAAGTTTCGACACTTCGTCGTAATGGAATTATGGACGATGCATGATCTTTAGATGTTATCTACGTTGTCCCCAGGACGATCGTTCCTGGAAGCAGTATTCCGCTTATTTCCGGCGAAAACCCGCAGGATATTCATAGGTTCCGCGCTGGAAACCACGAGAAAGTACTCGGAATCCTACCGAAGGAACCGGTAACCGTATCCGACTATCGGTTATGGTGGGTTCTTGCTGGTTCCGGATGAAACCTTTTAAATCTGATGAAAGGATCCGATCGCCGGAATACTGCTTCCATGAAATCCGCGGAAGGTCCTGGAACTGGTCGGTTCCGGGCCGGATTGTTCGACCTGGGTCCCAGTACCCGAAAATGACTCAATTTTAGTTATTATTTTTATTATTCTGGTTTTAAAGATAGATGAATATGAAAAATAGAAATTGTTCATTAAAAAGCAATGCCAGCTTTTCGAAAAGCTTGAAGAAATTGCTGAGGATCTTGTGCACCACTCAGTTCGACTTTGTCATTGATAACGAAATGTGGAACACCGGAAATTCCCTCTTGTTGACTGTGATTGATTTCATCTTGAATTTCTTTTTTATATTGATCCGATTGAAGAAACTGTTTTACTTGATTTCCATCTTGTCCAATTTCTTCAGCCGCTTTGATTAAAACCTGATGGTCAGCTAGATCTTGTTCTTGTTCGAAATAAGCACGAAATAAAACATTGATCAAAGCATTCTGTTTCTGTTCACCATTCTCTTGTTGTTTAACATAATAAAGAAGACGATGTGAATCAAAAGTGGAGCCAATTTTTCCACCAAATGAAAATTGAATTCCTTCTTGTTTTCCTGTTTCCATCATTGTTGGTAACATTTGTTTAATACGTGCTTCACCAAACTTTTGTTTATAACGATCCATCTTGAGAAGTGAACCATCTCGAGGTAAACCATGATCTAATTCATAAGCATGCCATGATACTGAAACATTAACACGTGACGAGTCAATTTGAGACAGTGCTTTCTCCAAACGACGTTTGCCAACGTAACACCAAGCTGCAGNGCAATTTTTAATAATTCATCAATTTGATCTTCAGCTCCATCGACTTGATCAGCAAATGATGATAAACCGGGTTTACGTTCCTTGAACACTTCATTCTTTAGCACAAATGTATCACCATTCTCATTGTCAGTCGCTGCACGAAATTTATAAACATGAATACGCGTTCCAGTGGAACCTGCGTCTATCACTAATACATAAGAATACGGATCGAGAAAACGAAGTAACGGAGATAATGATAGAGATGAGTATAGGATAAATACAAAGGTTATGAAGATCAGAATAAATAAAAGATTTCGAATTGAGTAGAAACTACGTGACGATGTGTAACGACGAGTGAATAATGGTATCATCTTGTTTTCAACTGGTTTGACTAATCGATGACGAATTTGAGGTTCGACTGATTGCTCTTCAAAATATGAACTGGCAGTGGCAACTGTAGACATTGACGAAAGATAGTATTTCTTTTAGATTCAATCCAATTGAACCGTTTGTCGACCAATCTAAAAGCAGAGAAACTCATTTTCGAATATTCAGCTTACGAAAGTATTATTTGGACAAAATTTCATCAAAATAATGTTCTTCTCCTTCAATAATAAGTATACTAGTTTGTATCGGCATACACTTCAAGGATATTACTATTTTCGTTCGCATTCTACTGAAAAATATGCATCAGAATTTCAGTATTTATCTATCTTACCCAACACGCTCGTCTAATCAAACATATTTTTTCTTTTTATATATATCATTGAAAATAATTAATCATGTGATAGTCAAAAAGTGTATGTTTTGTTTTCATATCGAATGTGTCAACCCGTCGATCAATATCCTATTTTTCCAATGAGAAACAAAAATACAAGGATGAATGCACTTCGAATGATACTTAAATAACTCGAAATTTGCATCGGTAAGCGAAGAAAAGAAAAATTTCAGTAAAGATAATCGTGTGCTCGGTGAACATTTGAGAAGATAGTTTTTCTACATATGAAAGTGGTAATTACCCTGAAAGTGATTGTTTTTGTCAGACAAACTGCCACCGATAAGTGAAGAAAAAGCAAACCTTATTGAGTTCTCTATGTACTCTACTCATACAAGAAGAAATGAATGACAATACGTCATCTATTCATTAGTTGAATGCCTAACCAATAAACAACTCAGCAGAAAAAGCGTCATCTACTCATCTTATTAGCTGAATTGATGCTCTTTTTTATTCAAATTGAATGAAATTCGTGTACAATCATTTTTAATTATTCTCGCCATTCCATCGTCCATTATCGGCACAACAATCTTTATCGCATATTTTCAGCCATGAGTGCGGATCCATTGATTGCGATCGATTCGCTCGAATAAGAAGTTCTTGTTCAGCGGAAAATAGGTAACAGTTGACATCTTCATGATCGAGAAATACCCAGAAAAGTGGTGAAACGAAACGCATGCGTTGTGCTAAACTATTCCAATCATTTGCAGCTGTATGATCCAATCCTAATGTTGTCGAATTCAGCATTTTCAACATGAGATCATGAGCTTGAGGCAATGACAATGTGCTCAAAAAAGGCGAGAAGTTCGAACCATTGTGTATTCCTTTAGGTATATCGTGATCAGATAACAAGCGATGTTTACCAATGAATAAATGTACCATAATCTTGGTGACGACAGTGTTAAGAAAATCCTGGCATTGTGTCGTATTTTTACTCGGCCATAGGCGACACCAATTTGTTGTGTACCCAGGAAGAGACGCATTGATAAACGGTTGCAAATGCGTTTGTTCTGCCAATCCAGCATACATACCTTGTACAAGTAATAGTTGATCTCGTTCGCTAAACGTCATAGATTCAGGCGCGTAATGTGCTTCGAATAACGCCCACATTGCTTTGGCTAAATCGCATTGACCATCAGAACATATATAGTTCTTGACAAAATCATTCATTTTCGCATCACTTGGTCTCGTTTTGTCAGCGCAGAACGCTAACCCATAGTGAGCATAGGCAACGGCAATTTCTCGAAATACAAATATATTTCCGGCACCAAGCGCCACTGATGTATGTTGCAGAATGTCCTTAAATAACGTATTGATGAGAGTGAACGGAATTTTCGATAAGATTTCTTGCGTCCAATGTGGTAAATCCCGTATAATATACGACCATAACTCAGGAACTGGCTGTTGGCGAATACTAAATCCCACAGCATTTGATGCCCAAGCACCTATTGTTGGCCATATGCCAACAGAAGGAAGACCAGGTGTGCTGTCAGGAGCAGTATGCAGTAATTTTTGAAATGAATGACTAATATCCTGATACCAGAGACTAATTGCCCAATTACGCGAGACAATATCTGTCATATTGCTAATTTCTATATTGTCATCTAGTAAATGTTGAAAGCATTCGCATGAATCTAATGGGATTCCAGGACATGGGCCAGTTCGTTTATCTTCACAACAAATCTCCGCAACCACCACAATAGTAATGAATAGACTGATTTGTAAGTATTTCATCATCAGAGTCTCACAAAATATTACTTAGACATAAAATGAACACCTTATTTTTGCAATTTATAGGCACGCAGTCAGCACTCATTTTTCTCATCCTCTATTATATTGTATGCACCTTTAGCAGCAGGTGACCGTCTTCACTCTGCTGATAAATCGACCCAAAAATAGATGCTGTTATTAGTTTTTCCATTGAATTCAATTTGCACTCGTGTAGACTCTAGTACATCCACAGAGGATTTGAAATCCAAAAATAGAATCGCTAAGATATATCGATCTTTGTTTGTAGACGACATCACAATGTGTGGCGCCCTCTAAAAGAAAAGCAATGTGAAAGAAAATATACATTGCGAAGTTATTCATTTGATTTTTTGTAGAATAATTCATTATTCACGAAATTAATTGAAGATTGTAAGCCACTGAAATGTTGATTGCCAACAAAAAGATCTTCATTGGTCTAAAAATACTTCACACAAAACGTATTAGCCGATTGTTCTGTCACTGGGAATTTTAAAAAAAATAATTTAATATTTTGATAGATTTCAAAGCGAATCAATGGGTTTAGAGAAATTAGAACAAATTCTGACTCTATTCGAACAATGTCATTCAGGCGGAAAACCATTAGAACTTACAATTAACGAAGATTTGCTGAAATGTTTTGCACTACCACCGAAAGTAATTCTCGATCTTCTACAACAGCATTCAATCGATGCAATTTCTTATTTATCCAATGATAAAACCAAACTTCACTTTCAAAATAATGTAACCATGAACTCAATTCAAATAGTTCACTCACTAAAATTCTTCTTTATTTCAGCTTTATCTTTGTCCAATTGATCAAACTGAAGCTGATTCATGTCATTCAACAACTTGCAGACAACTTCATCTATGCGAAGATTATATATTAAATAAATCGTGTGTACAATTTCAATCCAACGGAAAATGTTCGCATGCACATTCTTTAATGACAAAACACAATCAAATGGTCTTGGAGCAGTACGGTATGTCGTCAACTGACGAACAAATCTATCAGTTTATTTCGCGTCTTATTCGACTTTCATTATTGTCGACAAAGCAGCCGAAGTTCTTCGTACAATCCGTAGACAAACAACCAATAACAGATGAGCTGATTGATGAATGGTTGGGTGATCATAAATCTTTGCTGTCAGAACAAAAACGCGTCAATTCTTATACCATAGAATTCATATTTGAGGACAATGAAGGTATTTCATGAACATGTTACTTTTTCGCAAGCAAAATTGTATTTAATTTGGGATTTTAGTAACATCAATGATAGAAGATATCATCAGAAGTCATCATGCATCAACTGCATTAGTTCTAAATAAAATAACACCTGATCCACTCAGTTCGAATCGAATTTTAGATGCAACGCCAGCTAAGCAGAAAACAGACGAAGATCTTGATCAAAAAGTTCAATCAACGATAACAAAAGTATTTCGATTTATGCAACTGTCATTTAAACAAGGCTTTTTTCAGGCTCCATCCATAATAACTCGAAGATTTTCAAATCAATTGAGAAATCTGGAAGAAAATCCTGCTCCGCAACCATTTGGACGCGGCCGCGGCAGACAAACTTCAACTGTACCTCCAAATCCACCTTCCTTACCATCTTCAAATGGTGAAAAGAAGTTCATTTTTTCAACTCGTCTCAATTCGAAAACAAACGAGCAGACATTGCATTCATCAACGAATCAAATCAATTCTCCAACAAGTTCAATGCGTTCCACACCCGAATCAGTCACATTAAACTCGAGTCAACCTGCAAATCACACCGATAATTCATTTCCACGATATGTACTATCGAGAACAGAACAAAAACAAAAGAACCAAGCGAAGTGTCAAAATCATTGCGATGACTCTTCATTATCATCCGACTATCGTACGCTTTTTTCACTAAGAGTGTTCATAAGAAATTGGAGATTAACTTCTAGATTCTCCGGACATGATGTCATCACCAGATCAACAAGACACAAAATCTCGACCACGTTTTGTTATTAGAGACAATTCACTTCGAAATAAAGAAACAAGTTCTATTTCACCAACAACACCAAAATCACCAAGTCCAATTGTTTACACGTTTAAAAAGCAATTTTCTGATCAGCATGTATGTGAGACAAGTCGATTGTTGAAGTGAAATATGTGTCGAATATTTCAGTTATGTTATCTTCTTGGTCCCGGTAGAAAACAGATTGTCGATAAAGATCAATGTGAAATTATTCGTTATCTACCATCGGGTTGTTGTCGATCACAAAATATTGAACAAGGAAAAGAAATTGAAAAACAATTACATTCAATTATACCTCCAACTTTGAACATTGATCTTGTAAAGATTAAAGAAGATTTAGCACTTTTGATTCGTTCATCAGCAGCTGAAAATCTTTTCCAACAAAGTAATTCGAAACATAATTTCATTTAGTTTTCAAAATTTTGACTGATAATATAGATCAATCTCATTATGCAATCTTTTCTGAGCCAATTAAAATCCAATGTAAGTAGAATCATTAGATTTACATAGTTAGTTGCAAACAGATTGATTTGTTTAGTAAATATTGAAGTAATCGAGACAGAATCATCGACAACATCTAATAGAAGTGTAAGACACCTGTTTTGTAATCAATTGGTCAAATGAAAAAGTTGTATTTTATAGGCGGCAGCAGAAACCGATGAATATTCAAATTCGCAAATTTCGTCTGATGGTATATTTCACATTAGATCAACTGGTTCTTCGATAAATGTTGTATCTGGTGATATAAGTGAAGTTCAAGTAAGAATAAGCTGTAATACGAAATTGAAGCTTAAATAGATGTTTGTTATCAGGTTGATATGATGATTTGTATTAGCACGTCGAATAATTTACGAGAAAGTGTTCTTCGTCGCGCTGGTCCAACTGTTCAAAAACAATACAAAGAACGTTATTGTAGCGACGATGCATTACTTGTAGACGGAGGTTTGACTAAAGCAGAAAAAATTCTTCTCGTTCCGTGGAAAACCGAAATTGATCGAGAAAACATAGTAAACAGTCTCAAGGTTCTTGAAACTTGTCGATCGAATTCGAAATCTTTTTATTCTTATTGATTATTTTAGTCGTTGTCAGAATTAGTCACCTGGTCGATCGACAAAGCACATGATCGCAATGTTAAAACGGTTTCATTTCCTCCTGTATGATACTTTTCATTGTCATTCATCTTTGCAATTTTAAACAACATCTTCTTCATAGATTGGTACTGGAGAACTTAATCTTGATCCACTCTTTGTTTGTGAAGCACTGATTGGCGCAGCAAGTGAACGTTTACATCAGTATCAAATGAATGTCATATTTGTTGTTTATCCAAAAAGTGACAGAATAGAAGAAGATGGATGTTATCAAGTAATTCATCGATTTGTTGTAACTATTTTTCGAAAAACCTCCGTATTTCGATAGATTTTTCGACAATATCTTAATAGTCTTTGTGCACAAATTCCTTCAACATCGAATGAAAGAAAGGCAAAAACGACGTCTGAAGTAAAACGACGAGTATTTAAACGAGATGTACAAAGTAAGTTTCAAAATACGCGAAGAATCCCTTAAAAACTGATCCGTGTTCCAGGTAAACGAATCCTCACATTATCTGCATTGCAAAACATCAATGAACATCGTCAGTTACTGGTCGAATCATTAGAAAAGTTAATAGATGAACAAGTGTTTGATCTTAACTTAGTCGAATCGAAATTATCCTCTCAGGTAGATTCTTTAATTGACATTTGTTTGTCTCACAATGTATTTCCACGTGTGGATTGTTCGTCGAAAAAACTGACACTTCGCGGTGATCGTGAATCACGTCTACAATGTTTTTTCAATTTATGTCCTGGGAAAGGTGCTCATCAGTATAGTTATGTATTTACTGAAATGGGAGAAAAGTCCGAAGAAAAACAATTTAATTCTTATATTTCGTTGAAAATTGACGAAGCATTTGCAGCTGGAGAAGCAATGGTTTGTTGGCTTCTTTTGTACATTAAACGTCAGAAAAAATGAATTTTCATTTAGATGAGAATTCAAGATAATGAACAATCCATTTTTGACATCGATTTCAGCAAATTACAAGTACGACCGACAAAAACCAGACGAAATGCTTTTCTTGTGAAAAAACCGTTAGATGGTAAGTAGAAATACCGAATTTTCATTGTACAATTGAAATTGTACGCGTAGATTCCAAAATTCGAATTCCACCGTCATGGTCTTCTTCACCATTAAAGATTCGTACAAAGGAAATATCAAAATCATCGTATGAAACTTTGGAATGTATTCATATTTTTCAACAAACGATGTCAATGTCGGATTGGCAAATTGATCGAGTAAGAAAAGAAATTTCTCTGAAAATGAAATGATTTGCTTTGATATCATGAATTAGATCGAAGCCATTGAAAACTATCCGTTATATCTACATTATATGCACAAGAAAAGCGAAAGAACAAATATTTATTTCCACGGTTGTTCATTTGCATCTGTTCAATCAATTGTTCACTACGGTTTACATTCTACGAATGCTTCACACTATGGTTGTGTTCATTTTCATTTGTTCGACTTGTTAAATTGTATTTCTTTAGGTGATAATTTGGGAAATTGTTCAACTAGATCAATTTGTTTAACTCGCGACGCTTTGAATAGTCACTTATATGGAACTCGTCGGTGCACCGATGGAAAACATTATTTATTCGTTGTAGAATTTATCAAATATGACAATGACAATAGTTTTCTTTATCTATCCAACGAAGATGCTTGTTCAGCTCTACCGACATACTTGATTGTTTATCAACGACGACAATCAGGTTTGAAATAAATCTAAATTTCATTTTTATTTTTCTTAAATGATGATAATATGTTCCGAGTGACCATTTGCTTTCAAAAAAAGTACCTATTTAGTATGTGATCTCAAATAAAATCGGTACAAATTTCTCGTTAGTTTACGTATTTTTATTATGAAAAATAACTAATGCGAAAAACTTTATCGATATGAAGCTAGCATGAACAAACGATGTGTTTGCTTCACATCGATTGGCTCTTTTTATTTTTTTAAATATCGTTATCTTTCAGCATGTTCGAGCTTCTACTCGTCGTGTTCGACCTCAAAATTGATTATCAAACGATGAAATTAAGTCGAAGGGATATTTCTCTATTGAAACAAATGATCTTGATTTTTTCAACAGTTATTTGCGATTGGGGAGAATCTTATTTACTTTCGATTATCAATTTGATCATGCCATTGAATCGTCCAATTTTCCGCATCGTCAGTGAATTATGTGTAATTGGAATGTGGAACATATTCTATTATAGTTTTCGTAAAATAGAGTGCCGAGTACCTATAGATAAACAAGTAACTTTCACTGAAAGTTTAAAAGACAAAAATATTTCTTTGCTTTCTTTTAAAATATTAAATATGGTTTAATGAATAGAAGAGTGATTTCTTAAATCTTTCTCCGTAACATTCGTATGGAGAAGACATTTCGTATACAATTTGAGCACTTTGTTCTCAACCTAAAAAGTTCTATATAAAATTGGCGAATCCCGACATAAAATCTGCAAAGATTTATCTGTCCTACCTACGGTATCTGATCAATAAAAGGATCATGGAGATCAATTGCTCTGTTCTCAAAATCGTGATCAGATTAGAGTTGACAAATAACATTTACATATGAATTCATTTAACTGATTGTTCGTAATCAAAGTTCATGACAGTTCAGATCAAATATTCAAACCGACATATATTCACTATACGATATGAGTCTTTTTCAGGAAGCATTACAGATAATGACAATGTTATCTACTTTATTAGCTCATCAATGGTTTTTAGCAAATTTTATTTCTCTTTTAAGAACTTTATCAGTTCATTCAAAAGAAATCGATAGAGTTTGTGATGGTGGACTGCATGTGGCACCTGCGATTCCTCCCCAATGAAGATTCCCTGCGCATGGTCTGACTGTATAACCTGTACTACAAGTGTGCCCTCCTGTAGAAGTTATTTCATAACCCGACCAGTCCGGTCCGACTCTCCAATTAATTCCATTATAACGAGCAATCAATGTTGTATTGTATCTCAAAGCCACAGCAAGTGCAGTTACGGTAGATACATCTGTTATTGTTACACCCGTTGGATCGTTCGAACCATAAATACGCATTTTGGAATACGTTGTACAAGTTAAGCCAGTTGTAAAACTTCTCCAACTTGTGCATTGAGTTGTTGCAGTTACACCAGATGTAAAACTATCAGAATATGTTTTCGCACACGCTAGAACAATAATATCATTACAAAAGAATATCTCAATTAAATTACTTACAATTACTTCCCGTATTATCTGAAAAACAAAGAAAAGAAAATATAAAACATTAGAAGATTTTTCGAAAATTACCGAGTACAATAACAATGACAGGAATAATGATCGCTGCTAATAGAACGAGAGCTAATAGAAATATCAACTGAATGCATACACATCGTGAGACAGTACATCTACTTATTCATGGAGTCAATGAACAATATGAGTTACATACGAGAACAAACTTAGATTTTTGTGGATTTTGTTTTTGAATCTCCAATTGCTTTGGTGCAGTTTGCGAAGTTGTTTTTGAAGACGAAGATTTGTTCATGTCAGATCAGTGGAATTCAAGAAATGATTGAATATTTGTTTCTATTAAACTTATAGATGAGAAATAAATTAAAAATTTCGATTGTATTTGCAGGAAAGACAAAATCGTTTTCAAAGTGCAGGGCGTTTTGTTTTCTTTTTGTTTTTTTTAACATTCTTCCAATGCAACAAAGCGATTGTGTTTTCGGTAGTTTTTTCAATTCAGTTACTTGTTTTGTTGTCACCATCAATCACAGACGGTTTCTATTCATTTTAGACGTTAGTAAAGCAAAAGTTTAGACAGTTTCTTTAAAATGCTCTCCTTCTCTACCTTATCGATTATGTTTTTCTAAGAGTGTAAGAGAAAAACATTTTTCACATCAGTAAAAGGATCAGTAGAAACAGATTTCGTGGGAAGTATTGAACAGTAAAAGACAGGACAAGTCGACTGAATTCACCTGTAGAATATAATGGAAATGTTTCATTTTAATCTAAAAAACGATACGTTTATTGTTCTTTCCGGTGCACTCGAACCGATCAAGATAATATATCCTGAGGATAAGAGTGATGCTATGAGCTGTATTGAGGACACTCTACTCTTTGCTCTCACTTTCAAAGCGATGTTTAGCGGTTCTTATTATTTTATATTGATACGTATTTCAATTGAGAGCGATATTGAACTTCAGTGCTCGATGGTTTCCATTGGCAGCAACGTATAGATTGTTTTCCTGATTAGATGAAAAATTCAACGGATGCACTAGTTGACTTGTTCGTTGACCTATTTAATCCCTATTGGCTATCATCTTTATCTACTTTTGTGTCTACAGATCATTTCATCATTTGGTGATTTAATTGATCTGCCACATACACAACACATTATTCAGATAATGTAACCATTGAGATACAAAATGATTTAATATTCCATTGAACATGATTTCCGTACAAAAAATGGCTGGAATTATACTAATTTACTCAATATATTACAATGGACTGTTGTTAATTACGGCATCGAAAATTCGTCACATGGAACTTTACTTTTCTTTTTCAATAGTAACTCATCTTAGTTTTTGGCTGCTGTTACCATTTCGAAACGATGTTCTACAGACATACTTTCCATAAGTAAAACCTGCATTGTAATTTTTTATCAATACTAATGGAAACTGTGCTTTATATGACAAATTTTATTCGAAGTTTAAAATTCAAACGGATATCTATCCTATCTTGCTTGTATTTGTATGCATAAACAAAAAGAAAGAAAAAACATTTCATTTCAACTATTCATTACATGTGACAACATAACATTAAATGTCACCCTCAAAATTTGAATCACTTCCAAATGAAATCTTACTTGATCTTTTTGAAAACTATATCAATGGAACCGATATTCTCCGTAATTTCTTGCATCAACTCAACAAACGTTTTGATGCATTGCTCTACCAAACTCAACGATTGACCTTTAACTTTATTGCTTGTCGATTACATGATTTTCGTTTCTAATCTTCGACACATTCCTAATTATCAGCACAAAATAGCATGATTAATATGGTCTGAACATGCTGCACCTGGTCAAATTGACATGTTCTTCAAGCATTTTTCATCATTTACAGCTTTCAAGAACCTTCGATCATTCTATTTACATTGTACTGGCCAAACTATTCATTCACAGCTTGTTAAAAATGCTCTCCTGTCATTGATTGATGTTCCAATTGAAATTTTATCACTTAAAATGACCAAAAGTGCATTATTTCCTTCATGGCAAACAGTTTTGTCAACAATATTCACTCTTACAACATTGAGACAGCTTTCAATTACTTTTTCTCGTCCTTTATACATGATGAAAATCGTCAGTATCGACTTTATTAAACATTGAATCGTTAACTATAACAGTCCTACAGTGTGATTGGCATATTCTCATGTCTTTCTCAAAATACATGCCTCATCTCAAATATCTCAATATCGTGATTAATGATCATTCAAATCTATTTCTCTGTCGATATCCACTCAAACAAGAATTGATTCTTCCATTTACATCGATGCTCAAACTTTAAAATCTTTTCTTGTACATTCAGTATAGAACTACATTCAATGTACTTATATACAATATTTCCAGTGTACACTAAATCTACATCGTCTAACAGTAAATGGAATTGCTCTGATCTTGCAACCCAATGCATGACAAAGATTGATTACAACATCAATACTTCAATTGAACAATTTCACTCTCACCATAGATATAAGACGTCATTCATATTGTGAAAGAGTTGATCCACAAACTAAACTTGCATTTTGTTCGACAGTTCATTTTGGATGACAAACAGAAACTTTACTATTATCATTATTAATCATGAACGAACAAGTCATAACGAAGAAATAATTGATGTCATATGTGATAGTGGTAGTGATGTCTTTCGAACTGATCTAAACCATCTCGCAGTCAGTAATTGGTGGACTACCTCACAACATACGCGTCATTATTTGAGTACTATCGCACGTCTGTGTGATTCTTCTTTTCCTTATATACCATCACAACAAAATTATTTAAAAAATGTGACATATCTCACAGTGTATTGTCTAAGTTTATCATTAACACAATGAACATTAACATATGCGTCAATTGTTCAAAAGTGATCGAACTCGTAATTTTCTTGAGTGATCAACAAATTCTTGCCATGAATGTGCTTCTTCGACATCTGATTAATCTTGAAAATCTCAGGATTGGTTTTGATCAGTTGATGATTGTCGAAAATATTCCTTTTGACAGACTATCTAATATGTCACATGGATTCAAACAGAAAGACATCACTCTTATCTGTAAATATTTTCCAAATCTTGAACACTTGATAATCAACTCAATAGATTTAGAATCGATTCCATTACTGAAGAACTATCTATTGAATCTACGTTGTCTAAGTTCTCGAATTCCAGAATGTTATTTTCATCGATTGAACGATTTCACAAAGCAATTTAGTAGTAATCCATTAGAATATCCAGTAGTAAATACTTTCAGATCCGAATGTAATTGGATGAAAATATGGATTGATGAAATAGTTTTCGATACATCATTTTGGAAAACGTTTATCAGCATAAAAGTACGACCGACTATTATTACATCAACAATTCCTGATAATTCAAAGAGAAACTTTCCACTTCGAATTCTTTTTTCCAATGAATTTTTGTAAGTTCTTTTCTTTTTCTTACTATTTCATCGAGAGTAAATGTTCGTCGAAAAAGTGATGTTTTTATATAACAACTTTCTTTCTATTATAAGATCAAAGACAACATTTATTTTGTTATATAGTTCTGACTGTAATGATAACCTGTTCTTTTAGTATATAAAATGTTTGAATCGATTCACGTGTGGAAAATATATTGATATTATAATCGTGCAGGTATTAAAGGATTAGCTAATAACTTTTATTAAGTGTTCGACAATTTCATGTGATTTATCTTCTTGTACGAAATGTTCAGTTTGAGTAATTGTTGGGTGTGCTAGTATCGGGTATCATGGATTGTATTACTTTATCAAGACCATTAGTAGTTGAATCTGAATCTGAAAATAGAGTAAGAAATGGGCGATTAAAATTATTCAGATTTTGCCATATTTGACAATTATATTCTGATGATGGATTGTCCGCAGTAGTTGTTACTAATAATTGAAATACTGAAGCACCGGCTTGATATTTTTCATTTGAAAAAAGACGCATTGATTTCTTCTTCATTCATATCTCTAACTACTCCAAACTGCAAGATAACAATCACTCACTTGAGTTGCCATAGAAAGATATTTGGAGATAGAAAATAGAATATGAAACTTGGTCAGTTCGGACCTAGCGGACTACGTACAAAGAAGGTGCGACTACTACTGGAGAGATATTCCTATGTTGTATAGTGGCGACATCTTTTACACTGATAAAAATAAAATACGATAAAAGTAAATCTTCGATCGGAAATATAAGTAGGAAAATTGTACGCAATCGAAGAGAAAACTTTGTAAAAACATATCAAATATATTTATCAAATAGTTGCTAATAATGAGTCATTTTCTGACTCTGAAGACTAGTAGAAGTCTATTCATTTGTTTCAAACTCCATAGTTTTGATATTTGCAAAGGAAATGGCTTCAAAATCGGCAAGCAATGGTTTTCGAGTACGAAACATTTCCACATGAACATTCATTTCATTTCTCGCTGTCTAGCTTGAGGTACTCAAGGCACGTGGAAATGGCGTGGTCACAACAATTGAAAATGTAAGTTATTCTACTTCATCAAGACAAAATCTAGATCGAATATGTTCGTTGAAAGATTTCAGCGAATGCAACAATTGCTGAATTAAAAAAGCAAGTTGCTCAACTAAGTAAGTTTTTCTCTCTATGAATTTCTTACACAAGCCAAAAGCAATTGCATTTCAGAACCCAAACTTTATCCTGATCGTCAATCCTATCGAGCTGAAGCGAGTAAGTAGAGGAAAGTCTTTGATTTCTTTTCATAAACGTTTATATGTAGCTGGAAAATCGGTCAAAGATTCGCAGAAACTTTCTGAATTGAATGTCGATAAAACCGGTAAAATCTATTTCAAAGACTTGGGACCGCAAATTGGATGGAGCACGGTGTTTATGGCTGAATACGCGGGTCCATTGGTCATCTATCTATTATTTTACATTCGCCCAAGCATTATTTACGGTTCAGCAGCAAGTTCGAAGCCAATACATTTAGCAGCTCAGTTAGTAAAACTACTATTTTTCTCTTTCGATCTTTATTTGATTGATAAATTAGTTTGGGTGCAGCCTGTTGGACATTCCACTACGCTAAACGTATTTTAGAAACAATATTCGTGCATCGATTTTCGCATGCAACCATGCCAATATTCAATTTGTTCAAAGTAAACATTTTTTTTCTCACTCTCCTTCATCGTTGCCATTTCGCTATGTCTTTTAGAATTGCAGTTATTATTGGGGATTTACTGCATTTGTTTCATACTTCGTCAATCATCCAAAATACACTCCACCATCGTTCGGCTATGCACAAATATATTTAGGCTTAGCTATTTTCCTCGTAAGTTGATTCATTTTTCATCAGAATAAGATCAAAATCATGGATTCTAGTTGAGTGAGCTCGGTAATTTGTCAATCCATTTACTTCTTCGTGATCTTCGTCCACCTGGTACAACTGAACGTCGTATTCCATATCCAAACAAGACAAATCCCTTCACACAATTATTTAATTTCGTTTCATGTCCAAATTATACGTATGAAATTGGTTCATGGTTAGGTTTTTCGTTAATGACACAAACATTAACTGCATTTTTATTTGCCATTGCTGGAGCAGGACAAATGACCCTTTGGGCACTCGGAAAACATCGTGCTTACAAGAAGGAATTTGCTGACAAATATCCAAAACAGCGTAAATCGATCATTCCATTCTTAATTTAAAAAGAATTCAAAACAATCATGACTAGTAGTTTTATTCCTTTACGTTCGTGTGTGTGTTTAGTTCTATGTCAAAGTTAAGAACAAAGATTTTAGCTTCATAAGATTACTTGATGATTTTCTTTGAAATAAAAACAAAAGATATTTTTCTTTGCTTTTAAGTAAGTCGTTGGTCTTTATATATATATACATAACACGAACTAAGCATCTACAACGCTCTGATTTGTTTCAGTATTAGGCTGTGGCGCAGATCCAATATTAATGATAAAACTGAGATTACCAATACTGAACAGAGTAACAGAGATTGGTGATGGAGCGTCGTCTGTTGTTTGAGATGAATTTTCGTTTCCGTTTACATTCGCCAACAAAGAAGTTCTCTCATCAGTAATCTCTGATGGCCGTTGCAATGTACGACGTTTAACTATATGAATGCAGCTATACAACAAAATGAAGGAATCTTGTTATTAATGTGTTCATCAGAAATTTTCCCTACATGTTAAGTATCAACGGAATAACACACAATGCAGCGTTTATATACAAAACTGTAGCCGTATGTTGCTTTGAAGTTTTCATATAGATGTTTTGAAAAAATGGATCACCAAATGACGTAATTAATTGATTGATAACAATAATAAAGATGAATGCAATGTTAATTTCACACGGTTTCAGCCATGCTGCCAAAATTGATAAAGTCAATGGACTTTGAAAATTCGTCAATGCATATATTACACTAGTGCTGAACACTTGCCAGCTATATTGGGCAAATATTAACCAAAGAGATGCAAATAGTGAGAAGATATAACCAATAGCACAAATGAGTTCATCATTGGATTTTGTTAACCAAGCCAATAGATGATATCCAAGAGTACTGAATACCGCTAGACTGATACCTTTGACTAGTTTGTAGATATTGATTAACATTTCCGACCAGCAAATTGGATAATGTGCAAGCGCAAAAAGAAATGTCGACGACATGGAATGGATAAACGAATAAAAGCAGTAAGCGATGATGGTCAATAACACGGTAACTTTTTGCGCCGTTGGACGACGATTTCCGTAGAATATGGTAATTATATCAAAATTCAAACCTATTTGATGATATCCACGTAGATTTGTATGATTATAAAGAGATAAGTCGTAAAACAGCCAAGTGGCAATAATGGCTATAGCTTGTAGAACAAAACCACACCAAAATAATGGAATGTAGCCATGACGTTCAACAAAACAAAATATGGCAAAAGTAATTATTGCTTCAAATCCTTTTCTCATAGCATACAATTGAACGAACCATACTGAACGATTCTCCTTAGTTGTAATATCGACAATAATTAAATAAGTCACAAAATCTAAGAAATCTCCAAAGTAAACAGCTATTTATTTGATACAATCAATTACTCACCAATAATACCAGCACCACCAAATAGACCCAACACAAAACCATTGAAATACCACCAATACACACTTAGATTCAAATAAACTATCACTAGAGCAATGATTATTTGTATCCAAATGCCCAGCATGCACAAGAGAAGTACGAATCGTTTACCAACAAACGGCATGAAAATAGCTAGTGCATAAGTCATAACAATTGCGGGAATACTATTCGCAATATTTCTCTCATAGGTAACGCTCTGATCGGATTCTTCAACTGAAGTTTCATTGTCAATTTGAGAACATGTCCCATTAATATCTTGACCATACGATACAGTATTATTTTTACTTGGCAGCAAACTAATGTATGTGTCAATAGATGTAACAACGCAATAGCAAAGCGTTTGCAGACATAATATCGCAGATATATGAAACAAATTCAACTTTATACGATTCCGTAAGGAAAACCAACGCCAACGGCTGGGTTCTGAATCAATTGTTGATTCCATTGAGAAAAATATCGTTAATCAACGATCGCCAATCGTTTCTTCTATGAAGAACTTCATCGATGCGTAACGTCGGCAGTGATTAATATGATCATGAGCGTAGTTAGTAGTCCTTGACATTAAAAAAATGTACGAAAATAAATGTGAATCTGAATGAAAATTCGGAATAGTAAATGCTCAGTGTATAGTAAAATCAATGTATTCAAAATTCTCATCTAGACGACATTCCGTGGCAAAAACTGAGTATGAGCGACATCTTTTTGGTCCAGAAAAATAAAAGACAACGAACACATGATGAGAAAAATAGATGAAAATGAAGAGATCTTATGAAAATTGAACTGTAAAATGTATTCAATAGCTAATATAGTATTTATCCAATTAAGACAAAGGATGAGTCATCTGCAGCACGTTAATCTATTCAATTCTATTCTTCATGGATTTATTTGATATATTCTCTTCCACTATTTTCAAACAAAAAACTTAAAATAATCAATAAATTACTTAACAAATTATCTTTTCATCTGACTTTGAAATCTTAGACCTTTCTTAACTTGGTCAATATTAAAATGAAGACAGTATTGACATCATAATCTTGCATCATGCATTGCATGCAACAATATTCTCAGCAAGATAAACTCTGATCATTTGAAAATATTTTTGATCTTTTCAAGATACATATAAAAATGAAAGAATTTACCGTAGTATTATATGCCGGTGGTAATAATCGTGTCATACCCGATTCATCTCTTCCAAAATCTCTTCTACCGATAGCCAATCGTCCATTGATTTGGTATACACTTCAAATTATTCAATCCCATCCAGCGCTTGCTTCATCACCACTATTGATTTTAACCTCGGGACAATATCGACAAGTGCTCGATAGTTATCTTTCAACATTAAATATAACCTATGAACTCGTCACTTATCGACAACATCATGAATCGACTAGTGGTGGTGAAGATCAACAGCAAGCACCTGATGAATTAGGAACATTAGATGTTCTTCGTTCATGTTATTCCCGTATTCGAACTGAATCGATTTGTTTGATAACATGTGATCTTTTCGGAAAAGTTAATCTGACGCCGTTGGTCAATATGTTCCGTGTGAGAGACGCATCGCTCTGCATGCTATTACTTAAAGCAACAACATCGTCTACGGGAAAAGAACCAGTAGCTCAACCTGGACAAAAGATGAAGTTTACTCCAGGTAGAAGATTTTCTTAGAGAATTTTTTTGCAAATTTGTCCTTCCAGAACTTGAGTATTATACCGTTGATCAATCGACGAATACAATCACATCAATTCAGCTGAAAGCGGATTTAGAACAAGTTTTTCCTTTGAGACAAGCGATTCTCATCAAGTAAGACAAATTGTTGATTTACAATGTCTACATTCTTATTTGCTAGTCATCCGCGAACAACTATTCGCACTGATTTAGTTGATGCTCACATCTATTTAATCAAAAAATCCTGTCTTGACATCGGCAATCGTTCTTCATTCTCATCCTTTCGAAAAGAATTTCTTCCAAAACTAATTCGACAAATTGTCACTGATAAACCACTTGAAGATCTTGTTGATCAGGCAAATAACCAACGAACGATGATGCGACAGAAAAGTTTGTTGAAATTTTCTTGACGTTTGTTTTGATTGACTGAATTTCTTATAGCAATGGACATGGATGATCATGGAGATTTATCAAGAATCTTAGAGCAATACGATTGTGATGATAAACAAGTTCGAGGTGGATGCTATTACGTTACAGATGAAACACAACTATTTCGTGTGAAACATGTCATCGCGTATTTAGAAGCCAATCGACATGTAATGCTCAACAGAAAGAAACTTTCTTACTCATTAATCTATTTTTCTCTAAGGCTGCAGCATTAATTTCATCGTATACGAATGAAGATATTCTATTTAAAGATCGCATTGAACAAGTTCAAGTAAAAGTTCATTTGGTTGATATACGAAAATCTATTTGGTATTTGTAGATTGGAAACGATTGTATTGTTGGCGATGCTTACGAAATAGGAAAGAAGACAAAGATTATACGAACGATTATTGGAAAGAATTGTCGAATTGAAGATAAATGCAAGATTATCAATTGCGTTCTTTTGGATCATGTTCATGTTAAAGAAGGGTAAAATGCAAATACATTTCATCATTCGAATTTTGCTTGATTTCGTAGAGTTACTTTACAAAATTCGATCTTATGTTCTCGCTCGACGATTGGAGCGGAATGTGAACTACAAAATTCGATTGTCTGTTCGAATCAACAAGTAGATGGAAAACGTAAGTGATGAAATTCGTGATGTTCTTTTGCTCTACTCTGTTTTGTTTGCAGGAAAACTAAACGGTGAAACAATCTCAGCGGCTAGCAATGAATCTGTCGAGTATATGCTCTTGGACGATGAACCGTAATTACCAAGTTTATTTTTATGATCAATTTTTCTGTTTGTTCTGATCGATATTCGTGAAAAAAAAGTACATTAAACTATTTGATTATTACATATATTTCCAAAGAAACATGACGGGAGTGTCTGAAAACTTGTTCCCAGAGATCAAAACAGCGAAACTAGTCATAGTTGTGTCACGGCTTTATCTCTATTTCACTCCTTTTTTTTTCAAACAGGTAAATTGATAAAAAAAAACTAAACATGACATCATTCTATCATCATTTTCATTTCGCTATATAAATAAACACATACAAAAAGCAACAGGCGCGCAACAAACAAAGAAACTATTTGACAGTCAAAAGAGAATTTTTTTCCAATGGCAAGAATTGGACCGTTGATTTGGTTTTGGTCTCTAATTATTCTACCATTCACTGCAATTCTTACATTTATCACAACTTTAATCGTATGCATCAATGTTCCAAATAATGCACCAAAAGGCGAAAAATATCCTCAAATCTCTCAACTTGGAACAGGAGAAGCATATTACTATTTTGTTGGTGGATTTACACTCTTAGCACCTCAATTCTTGATTATTACTCTTGGCAGACTCCAATTTCTCTTCCAATCACAATATCTTGTCCACCGAGCCATCGTATCCGTCATCCACGCTTTGGCATTACTTGCCTGTATTTTCATGCTTCTCATGGCAGCTTTTAGTATAGAAAGTAACGTTGCAATACATCTAACAGGCGCATTCGGAATGTTTGGTCTTATTTCTTCGTATTGTTTTTTTCAAACAATGCTTGTTTTATATCTATTTATCCAACGATCGAATGCTCCACAACACTCGAATGTGATTTGGCCAATCTGGTTTTTCATATGCAGCTTGATACTTATTATCGCGTTTGTTTATTGGTTAATAAGCAAAGAAGGAATTCCGGAATATATCGCTGCGGCATCACCATTTCTTTATCTTCTTGGCTTCGTACCACAGTTTTGGATGCAAGCAAGAGGAAAAAAACGCGACTCTCTTCTGCCAGAAATAATGAGATATAATAGCGAAACAGATGTTTAATTTGTTGAAATTTGTGTTTTTTAGGATATTTGTTTTTTTTGTCATAATCGAAAATATGCTTTATTTTAGCATCATAAAATAGCATTAAAATCAAATATTGTCGCGTTTTGAAATTTTTCACCTGACTAAAAAGGTTTTTTCTTTTCATTGGTAATCAAAATTTCACACAAAACACACACGTGTTTTTACGTATTCACACCTTTCAGTTTGTCGTCTGACAGTTTTCAAAAATGTCCGATGAAGTAGAAGTTAATGCAACGCATAAGTACAATTTAAACTCGGTGATATCCGATGGAGAACAACCGCCCGTCGAAATACATGGAGATGTATTCGATCGACAACGAGTTATGAAAAATTTCGATCAAACATTAATTGAACAACAGCATGCTTTTGTCTTAGGTGTTGGCGGAATTGGCAGTAGCATTGCAATGTCTCTAGTAAGATTAGGTGTCGATACTATATATTTACTTGATCGGGATATAATTGATGCATCAAATTTGAATCGCCAGATATTATTTAGCCGATTAGATGTTGGTCAATCCAAAGTAGAAGTTGCGGCGAAACATTTGAAAGAAATGCATAATTTAAGAACAAATATCTATTATTATCATGTGGATGCTGTGCTCAATTGGTCGTCTGTTGTTGATATTGCGAAGAAATGTACGGTTATATTTAACAATATTGATTATGGGGCAGTATTTGACCATGCTGTCAATTCGTTGTGTAAATCGTTGAGTATTTTGTATGTAGCCGGGTCAACGTATGCGAATAATATTGAAATAAATTTATTTTCTGGTTTATCGAATGATTCATGTTGGGCATGCCATAATTCTACAAATGATTCATTTAAATTCTCGGCTAAAGATTTGGAAAATACAGATGATATTCAATTATTTCTCAGAGACATGTGTTTCATCTCAGGTGAACAATCTGAATTGTTCATAAACGAAGTTCTCAATGAATTAAATCTAAATCAACCTTCACCAAGTCAATTATCAACATTGTTTATGCCTCTCTACCAAAAAAAGGTGCTTCGATTTCTTCTTCCCGAATCAATACAAAAACATCAATCGATTGGTTTTATACCAAAAGATCGAACATTTCCAACGAGAACAGTCGGTAGTTGGATTGGTGTTTGTGTATCTGGAGCATGTTTACTTGTTAATACTTGGGTTCAATATTTAATGAAAAAGACAAATTTGAATGAATCAACATTTCATAATTGGAGTCAATTCAATTTGTCTATGTTCGATGGAGGATATTATACTGTAGGATTTCCAAATGAACAAAATCTCCGAGACTGTTCGATTTGCTCAAATGCTAAACAAATTGCAGAGCAAACTATTAAATAACCTACTGAATCCAGTCGTTGTAGTTGTTTTGCATTACGAAGTCAATATTGGGTGATTGAAGAGTTCTTTTGTATTTGTGCACATTTTACTAAGACTTTATTGAAACGAGTAAATATTATTTCTTCGGAAAAAATTAATAATTTTGTTTAGTATTGGATAACTTGTGAAAACATTTTTTGCTACTATATAAAACCGAGTAAATTCACTTCAGTTGTCAAACAATGAAGAGCAAAGCCTTTCGATACTTTTTCTTCACTTATCTCATTCAGTTTTCTTCCATAGCTGGAGAACATTTCAAGGCTGACACAATAACGTACAAAGTTGTCAATACTTCTCAATCCACTGTGACTGTTATGCTTACTCAGACATATATTTATACTCGTACTGAAGCAGCTTGTAATGCTATAGTATGGTTGGTACACAATCGAAATCTGCTCAGAGAGTGTAAGTGGCGTTCGACTTCAGTGCGTCAGACACTGCAACACATCTTATAATTATACATCGATCGTAGTCACTCCTTGTTGTATAGGTTACTCTATACCTCTTGACATAACTGTCGGTCAAGTTTCGAATGAGATTGATCTCGCAGCAAATTCATACTTTACGCGGTTGCGCACTCTGCTTCGAGTTGGCGACGATTGACTTTACCAATAAGTTCAACGCGAAGTATAACACACCACCAGCATCTCCATTGATTTCTCCCGTCTATGTGCCAGTGAATATTCAACAAGCAATTGTTATACCAACAATCGATGCCGATAATGATGAAGTTCGTTGTCGATTTGATAAAGGTTCAGCAGAATGTACCGGTGTATGTCCACCAGACTCATTACCAAAAGGAACATTTATCTTATCCAATCTTACACTACTTATCACTGGTAGTGAGTCATCTGATTGGTACATCGCTGCAGTTATGGTAAGAAAATAAAGAGTGTATGAACTGAATGTACACTGTATGTCGATCTAGATTAAAAATTTCATTGATTCAACTTCAAAAGACACCACTGAGCAATATTCCTATTCAATTTTTAGTTCATGTCCAAGGTAGCTTAGCGTGTCATGTACGACGTTTGACGAGTCCTCTTACTGAATCTACTCAATGTGTTGGTGTTCAAGTAGATAAATTATACGACATTCCACTTCTTGTTGAAACAATATTTTGAGTTGTTATTTTTAATAAATCTTTAGCAATAATATGCAATCGAATCAATATTATGCTACATTTACAGTAGCTGAAAATGATGTTCCACTATGTCCTGAACAGTGAGTCTAGATGTTTTAGCAGCTTCTATAATCCTTGTAAATAGTTTNATTCTCTTTTTAGAATGTTCATATTTCATTGAATTCTCATTGGGAAGCATTATCACCGAGTGCATATTTAGTATGTTTGGGATTTGGACTACAAAATGGTATGTGTACGACGTATTCAGGTGCTGTTATTCGTACGACACATGTAACAGGAACAATGACAGACATCGGACTTATTCTTGGACAAGCTGTTTTTCACAAGCGAACTCGTAAAAACTTGTGGAAATTAAAAATCTTAGTACCTCTATACTTATCTTTCCTGTTTGGTGCTGTTGTTGGTTGGTTCGCTCATGAATGGTTACATGATAAAGCGATATTAATACCGTGTGCAATTGTGGGATGTTTAGGTTTAGGACATATTACTTACTGTCGAATGATTTCCAATCTTCATATTGAAAAAATACAAAAGAAGAATGAAGAATTATATAGTTCTGCAAAATTCTCTGCTACTGTGTCCGATGTTGTTGTAAAGACGAGTAGTATATCAGATATACAATCAAATGAAGTTGATGATGATCTAATAGGACAAAACACGACAGTTTCACTGATTACACATAATGATTCTGCACAAGTTAAACAGCAGGATCAACCGATGTTTTTCGTATAGTTTTCGTAGTTGATTGTTCAAAATATACGAGTTTTTCTTAGTAATCTTCAAATAAAATCCAGCTGGTATCTAAATAAAGCACTCTTCTCTAACCTGGAAAAGTCTTTTCTTTATAAAATTATTCAAAGTTATGTGCAGTAATAGAACATCTAAATAATACATATTCCTATCACAAATTCTTTCAACATACCTTTCTTTTCTACCACAAAATTTATCAATGCGAATGTCACACACAGAACTCCAAAATTTTATCTTTGATGCGCGTATCCGTTGTCTCTTAACCAGTTTAATATAAAAAGTCATCGTTCTTCAGCATGTTTGTGCAAATACTTGATAAGGTTCGTACGTGTGTTAATCGAAACAAATTGAAGCACGAAAAGGATGTCTGATGACAGCACATCGGACATCTTTTGAAATAAGAAGTTCTTCTGCACATTCATTTTTTTGACATACTAAACATGAGAGTTATGTTATTTCTACCCTAGATAAACTAACTCTTAGATACATATGGCGTGCTCGACGGGCTCGTCAGGTACGTCGTCTACATGTGTTCAATGGATGTGGAATTCGAATAAAAACCCATTTGCAAAGTCATTGATCGTGGAATGGATTGTATATTCTGATGTGGAAAATATAATTATTGAAGAAGCATTTGCATCAAATAAAACGCACGCGATGCTTGACGATTATCATATTGATTTTCATTGCAATCTTCAAATTTCGAATACTGATGGAAAGAAGCAACGCCCTGTTAAACGAGTAATACGCGACAAAGACGATTATTCTGTTCGGGAAGATCGATTCGCCTTCGTTCCTATTGATCCTAAACGTCCATTTACTGGAACATATGGTTGGATTTCACCATTCATAAAGGAAACAGTGAAATTTTTAAATATTACACCACAACAATTACCATCAAAAGACAACAGGATTATCTCCGTGTTGGTGGAGATGGCTGCTCAAGGCATTGTTGAAGAAGGTAAATTACTTGGAAAACAAATTGAAGGTGAGAAAATAGCAGAATTATTGTTAAAGAAAAAAGAAGCAGATATGCATACAGTGTGGGAGCGTTGTGCTTATATTTACTCTTTGACCAGTTTTTTATACATGAAGTTGAATGAAACGATGCGATTAATAGGAAGTGCCGGTCACGAACACATTTGGCGTAGTAAAATCGGTACATTGGGTCCATTTAGTTTACTCTTATGGGATAGCCCATCGAATTACAATTCAGTTAAACCTAAGACGATACTATATCGTGGAGCTCAATTAACAGAAGAGACAATATCGTTTTTCAAGGATGATTGCTTACAGAGTCGTAGACCAAATCGTTCCTTTCCAGCATTTACTTCATGCAGTAGAAATCGAGAAGTTGCAGAGACGTATGGCAACACTTTGTTTATCATGGAGGTTCAGCATGCTTTTACTGTGGATCTGCAACCATTCTCACAATTTCCAGATGAAGAAGAGGAATTATTATCTCCTGGTGTCTGTTTCACAGTCGATTTTGTTGAGTCAGATGAGCGAAAAACTCGACATTGGATATTTCTGAAGCTGCAGCAGATGCATACCCGTAAGCCAACATATTTTACTATCATCTTCAACCTGATCCAAATGTTTATTAAGATTTTTCTCCCTTTTGCATAAGAGCAACTCAATAACTTACTTGAATATGAAATTCTAATACATTAAAGTGCATCCCAGTCAGTATAAAGTTCAACGCTTTTTTTAGGCTCTAGTCTACTCTTCTATATAACCTATTCCATTCGAAATGATTTCTACTTTCGGCTTATCCATCTTGTTCAAAACTTCATGTAGCGATTTGCGAAAAATGTTGTAACCTGATTACAACCGGTATTTTTCCTCGAATAATCATTTTCGTATTAACATTATCTATTACTGAGAAACTTCCTCACCTCCAACTAAGTCGCACATGACAGCGTGATAGTTTTGAGGTAACCAAATTTTTCCAGTGATAAACACGTGTTCACCTTGACACTTTGAGGAATAATAGTGGATTTTGCGTATTCTCGTTAGTTTGTGCGTTCATATCTGTAGAACTTGGCGAGGATCAATGTGTTCTAGTGTAACAGATTGTGCAAAGGATTGCTACTGGTAATGTTAGGTTAAGTCCAATATGTCGCGTAAATTCTGCCAAACTCTTGATTTTCTAAACAAAAGAATACGAAATTTGCTTTCGGTCTGTCTAATAGATTAGATGAACCGTTGACTAGCGATGCCGTTTGTCGAGTACTAGTTGAGTGTATAATTTTCTCGTCAAAGAAATATATATCAGTTTAAGAAACGAGATGATCACTTGTTGTCGTAATGTTCAACAAAAAAGTCAATATACCTTCATTGCTCATATACTAAGGTATATTTTTGTGTTTGACTGTCAATAATTGCTGCAATATTATTGCAACATTCATAGATTCGCTTCATTTTGATATATTCTAACCATTCCTATCAGATACAAATTATGAATATACTGTGTGTGCATAAATACTCTCGGTTGTGAACAAGATTCTAACTTTGAAAGAAAGCATCTAAATCCTTCTCATATCAGTTTAAGTCATGAGATAGGAAAAGAATCTATGCAGTTTCGTGAGGAAAATTGAACACTGCTAAACTAAGTGAAATAGATAATTCTTACAATACTGGTAATCTTCAATTTTAAACTAGTGAATATTCTTTCAGGAAAAGACGCGCAAGAAATATCCATATCTTTGCCGCAGTCCAATGAACCCAAAGGTAAAATCGACATCAGCCGTCGGCTTCCTAATGGCGACTACGAGTGTAGAATTGAAGGTAATGATGATGATGGTGAATTGTCAGCTGTTCTTTTGGATCTTATGTCTAAGGGTCTTACTTACCCTGGCTCGGACGCTGCCTCTGCATCTCGCTTCCGAACTGGTACGAAAAATGACTGGACATTTTGAATGCACCAAGCATTATATTCGATAGTTGATGGTGATACTTCTCTTGATGAAGTTACGTTTTAGCAATACAAACACTTTTTCTGCTGAACTTCTTTATTCTTACAGAGTTTTTCAAGAAATAAATGTTTTTACAAGAACGCATATGAACTTTATGGACGAAATCATCGATTTTTAGCAGCTCGTGCTTGACTCACTGATTATTCCGACGCTAACAAATCTTTTCTACTTCGTTTAATCAAAAACACGAAATGTTGAAGTTGATATTTAAATGTATATAGAATTAAATTGAATGAGAATGAACCTTCAATAGAAATAACACTTAAAAACAGATTTCTATTTTTTAATAAATTTTATCAATAATAAGACAGAAAAGCAAATTTTCATCGTGTAAAACATAATTTAACTCAACAGAAAACAATTACGATATTCATTTCAACCTATTCGAGTCAGAATGTCGATAAGTATCATTAAAATATTATCCTTGGAACCAATGTTGAAATCACACTAGGCAGTAGAAGAGCGAATCTGGCCGGATTTTGCTGTACATTTGAACGATCATAAGAGTAACCTGGTGAAGATATTTGTCCAGAATTAAAAGAGCTCGTTATACCTTAGTTGAGGTTGTGCCTAACCGCAAGCTAAACACATACCTGAGCTATTTTGTCCTGAAACACTGGAATACATATGCTTTAATATACAGTGTTGATCTTCGATGATAACTTATGAAGATGGATCTGTTAGAAATATAAGTGAAATGTTGATTAGAAGTATTCTTGACAATTTTATTTACAGAAAACTCGTGATATATTAAAAAAACACTCTCAAATGAACTATTTCAAGAAAGAAAAGATTTGAAAATCTTTTATTCCAATGAGAAAAATACTTTTGAAGAGTAATAAATGTTTTATAACCACAAGATTTTGATTCAAAAAGCGATATTCAGATAATTGTCGGCGAGTATTGATTTGATTTAATTGACAAAAACAACAGAAATGATAGATTTTATTATCACTGCTCTACCAATGCCAATTCAAAGAAGAATAGTGTCACTATCATCTTTCATCTGATACTCACTAGACTGGATTTCGTCTCTTTCATACTTCAGACAGAAGTTTATCTAGGAGAGAGATGACCAACTCACAGATTGAATATACATCAACTATCGCTCGTGGAACTAAACCATCTATCTTCATCGAGATCCACGCTTGAGCTCATTGATGAAGCACATACTGCTATTCTAATTTCATAGCAGATTTTCAGATCTCATACTTGGAATATTCCCATACTTATCTTTATGGTATTTTTTCTTTTCTGTTCGCCGTTCTGACGAATGAGTATTGCACCATGTCAAATTCGTTGCAATATAACATACTGTTGCATTCGGATTCTATACGGAGGTCCGAAAGTGATGGTTTATCATTCATCAACAAAAGAGAGATTTGAAATAATGACACCTAACATCACCATCACTACTCATGACCTCTTTTTCTTATTCATTCAAACTACATTTTTTATTGAACAACCACAAAGAGCGATCTTTCTATGCAGGATCGAAATGTGATCCTCATTTGTTTGCTGATTTCTGCAATATTTAGATTCGACATGCATACTCTTTTCAATAACTTAGTACTATTCGCATTCTCCTCAACCAACAGTTGATTTTGAAATATTCTACTGTAGAATTCTCTTTGTCTGATGATTATTCCTTTTCTTGGTAATGTCGAGATGCAGTAATTGCACCATTTGTAGAAAGAGTCTGTTGATTTCTGCATGCGCTTGTAGCAAATACCTACATTGAAAATGAATAATTCCTTTGCCTTGTGCATAAATAGACATTCTCGTGTTGATTTCGATGCACATTACGATTCTGGTGAGAACTAACAAATGTATCATATATTCTCGTGAGAATTAATGAATCGAAATTTAAACTGCTGTTAAACAGCTTTACTGTGAAATCACATTTTCCAATGATGTTTTTAGGTATTCCGATCAGAAGATGGATAGTCTTTTCAAAATTGAAAAATACCTACTACTAGTGAAGATTCTTTCTGCATCCGTCGCAGCCGTCCTATATTTCCTATATCTCAACGAAAAGAAAGATGTTATGCTAAAGTTAACGGACTTTGCTTATAATCTCTTGTATTTAGTCAAATGGTTTGACATTTGCAATCCGATGCAATCGTCATCTATTTGTTGTATTATTCAATTTAATAGCTTTCACTTAAAACTTTCTCCTAATGTCTTGACTTGACATATTGCCATGCGTCTTAATAGTTTGGCGGATAAAAGAGGATTCGTGAAATGTCTGAAAAACTATGTTGTTGTTTTTTCTGATGGACTCACGTCACAACATTTCTCGAATTAAAGCATCAAAGGACAAGTAGAGCGATAAAAACATGCATACCTTAACTTTAATGCATGCAATACGCTCGACTAAATTGTTTTTAAAAACACCTTTAGATTAAAAACGATTAAACCTTACAGTTGAGTACCTTTAAGCTGAACGTGACGGAACATATTTCGCAAGATAATAATCCTTTCATATCATAGTCCTATAAATACGCTCATAACAAAATAAAATATAAGATATGTACAGATGTTTTACGGTTTATGATTACGAAGTGTCGGAGTAGATTATCTAACGAAAATGATTGCAAAGTTAGACAAAGACCTGGTTGTCTTTCTGATTATTATCTCAAAAATCAATCAATATTCATCAATCTACTCCATCTATTAATGGAATGAAAATGTGCTCTTTCATTCTTCTTGCATATGACATAATCAGCTTAGCTAGTCAACTTTATTCTTCACTTCATGGACCGTGAAACCTGAACAGAAGAAATTTATTATTAATCATGCCATTCTTTTTCTTCTCTTCACAAATTATCAATTCTATTCACGAAGATTAGCCTTGAAAAGAAGCATCTGAAACTCGTGACATTTCTTTTTAGAAGTAATGCTTGGTGAGGAGCATCAGTTCATTGGATTTCTTCTCACCTCACTGTCAATTGGTGAAATCATCTTCGCATGTTTATTAACATCGATCGTTTTGGTTTTGATTATGTTTCATTTATCTTATAATCGAATCGAACAAGACGATCGAGTTATACTTATTCTCTCGATAAATATTTACCTGTCTTGTTTGATCTACATGCTTTTATTTTTTATATTCCTTCTTCGATCCGCATTAGGTGATATCTATCATATTGAATTCGATACCATGGGATGCGTTTTTATCGGATACATATATGCTGTTAGTCTTTGTGTTTTATATCTTTCATTTACCAATCAAGTAATGAATGATTTTTCGTTTAAAAAGATTCGAAGTAGGCTTGTTTTTTTTTCATCTAGGCTTTCTTTCGTCTTTGCCGTATTGTTTATCCGCAATATAAATGTTTGCAAAATTCGAATTTATACATTCTCATCGTCCCTATAGAGGCCATTTTTGCTTCAATACTTCTGCTACCTATTTATATTTGGAACGATATCATTTATTTACGGAATGATCATTTTTGTTTTGTGCCAATTTCGAACGTTCGAGGTTATCTCTGGATATTCTTGAGCGTTTATGGTATTCCTGTTATTTCATTATCGTTGATCTATGTTCGCATAACGATTTACATTCGTCAACAGTCCAATCAACCAATTCGTATAAAACGAAGACAAAAACGAGATCTAAATGCCATTCGAGGGATATTCATTCTCGTTGGCTTTCTTTTATTTCTGGGTATTCCAACGCTCATCTTAATGATCATAATGTTCATTACTGGTGATGAACATCCATTAACGTTTCGTGTTACATGTTTATCAATAGGTACATCGATGGTAGGACTCAGTGTCGCTATGATAACTTCGATTCCACAATTGAAAGTTATCATCTGGAAGGGTTCTCAATCAACGTAATTTGTAATGTTTCGCGAAATATCTAATCGAATCTATTTTTCAATAATTGATACAACGACAAACCTAAAATCACAATAAATAATTCAAAATATACAAAACAAGTTTTCTTTTTTCTAAAACAGAGTTCATTTATTTCTTTCGCATCGAAGCAGATCTTGTTGGTTGTTTTCGTGTCGCGATTGTCGCTTGCTTTTTTGTTCGCTTTGCAGGTGTTGAGGCTCGTTTTCGCTTTATTCCAATCAAGTTGTCAGTATTCGTTGTATCACCAGTTTGCTTTTTCAATGTATAACCACCTTTGAGTTTTTCTTTAATCTTTGTTTGGTAATACGTTTTCGCTTCAGATTGATTCGAGAATTCTTTATACAGAATGATTGCATCGGAGTCGGGTTCGTTTAGTAAACCATATTTGGTTTTTGTTGACCTGTTTTCAATAGAAATTTGCCAATATTTTTTTTGTTCATCATGTTCCAGATAAGTTGTATTAGCGGTTGAGGAAGTTTCGGAAAGATTGCCTTGGAGTTTTTCTTCGTAATTGAACAATTTCTTCAATCGATCTTGATCTTTCTTCTTCAAATCAGTAAAACCTTGCAGATCATTCGTCACGTCGGTAATACGTTTCTTCTTTTCGTTTCCTGTTCGCAAGTAATTGATCATACACGGAACATGATAATAAACAGGCATCAATTGTTCTTCACGTGTCGAAGATTGGGGTATGAATGGATTACGAATTAAACGAGATAAACGAAGTGTTCCCTTTGAAATCTCATTTTCACAAGATTTGCCATGACACTTTGCATTGCTGCTCTTGGCATAATCACAACCAAAAGAAATTGTAATACTTTCATCACTATCATCTGCAGTAGTCTTTGAAGCCATTTAAAGTATTTTACTCGGTGGAACAGATGAAACTATCTGGAGAGAAGAGTTTTAGTGAAATAAGACTAATATTTGTCAATTTTGTCCTTCAACCGTCTTCCAGACCAATGAGTGCATTCAAACAACCAATGAGATTTCCCTCCGATCAATCCTTGGATTTTCGGTACGATAAACAATTAATCAATAGAAAAGTATATTGTGGAATTAAATCTTATGTTTGAAAAACGAAGAATTGAAATCGCATGCTCATCCTTACTTTCGTTTTCAGATTGTAGGTAGCGCTAGTAGTACAGTCGCTTCCGGTAAGCCGCGCTTCAAAAAGCCGTTGTAAATGTAAGTGTGTTATCGATTTCGCAACTTTCGGTATCTCCTAATTGATATTGAATGTCGAGAGTTGAAAGTTTGTAAGAAGTAAAACTGTTACTGCATAGCATAAAACGATTTATTTCTGGAATAAAAAGCAATCTCTAATCAATGTTCCTCGTTCAGCAGTTTGTATCTTCTATTTGCGGTGAATTCTTTTATATCGCCGTTGGTTGTACGACTTCATCATGATCGACGACTTTGATCGAAATCTTGTTTTTGACCATGGTTTAGAATTACAATCTTGGGCATTGTGTTCCCATTGTTCGATTATTTGTTTCTTGACTTCATCAATAGGAATTTCATTTGTACTCGATCGGATTTTCTTGGTGATGAACAAATAGAAATTTTCCGAAGCGTTTCCATTTTGTACTTCGACGATTTTTTGAAAATATTTGTAATTGAAATTTTCGTTTTTGATGATATGTAAGCGAATATTGTATTGATCTTCTAACTTACGTAGATATTCGCCTTTCTCTCTAATAAAACGGCTCATTAATCGACGACTTTCTTTCAGTAAGAGCGTCAATTTGAATGGAAGACACACGAATTGAAATTGATCTTTGTCATCAAAGGTAAATTCTCTTTGAATAAATCGAAATTCACTTGCTTCTTCCCATCTTTCATTGATTTCTTGTTCGAGCTCATCGATTAGGGTTGCATCTGTCGTCAATTTTGATTTGCTTCGAATTAACACGCGAAGTTCGTCATTGGGAACTATTTCTTCTATGTCATCCTTGTTTTTGACATTGATGCTCTTGTTAACAAGTGCTTTGTTGGACGAGGTGTCGATAATGTGAATGTGAACCTGGTATTTATTTCGTAGAGCATCAAAATTGCAGCCTCTTTTTCCGATAAGACGAGAAATTCTTGCGCGACGTTCTTGAGAAGACGTTTCCGCTTCGAACGAAAGTTTAACAATACGGAAGAAGGCGTCCGGTGATTGATGTGTTTTATCCAACACAATTTCATCGCATTTGTTCACCAATACATTGAGATCGATCACATTCAAACCTAACATAAGAGCAGGCCTATCAAAAATACTCATCAATTGGATACTTACCGATTTTTCCATCACACGAACAACATCGTTTTGGCAATTCATGGTAAACACGATTGTTAAACTTATTTGAACGTTGAATTATATTAACAGCATGATTAAATTTCGATCGGTACTTGCAATTATGCACAATACATCCGTCAGTTACTGTTATTACTTGGAACGTTTCTATGGCTAAAATATATAACACGTCAATGTTCATCTTCACAACGATTGTCTAACGATTCCTTGAATATGTCTCTATGACCATATCATGCTATACTTCTGATACTATACGAGTAAACATACTTTTCATGAATTCATCGATAGGATCGAGTATATCGGATGGTATGGATTCATCATCTGTGTTCTCATCGTGTGTCACTGGAGTTGAATGGGACGTTTCTTCATGATCTGTACTATGCTCTTCTTTCGTCAATAAAACTCTAAACACATTCAGATGATGGTCATTTAATTCTTAACTGGAATAGTTTAACAAACTTGTTCATGTTTGATGAGGATCCATATTTAGTGACAGTAGATAATGACCACTTGATGTCTTCACACATTTGACGGATAATTTCAAGATTGATCGGTTTCAGTTCTAAGAACGGCGATTCCAATCATGAAAAATCTGAGTGAATGCTTAAATTTACCTTCCTTTCCGTCACAAGAACAACATAGTGTTGATAACTCTTGAAAAACATCATCCGAGAACGTGTTTTCGCCGCGGAGCTGATTAATAGCAGTTTCAAATTCCGATACATGCTCACAACAATGTACAATACATTTGTTAGTTGCCATAAAACTCGTAATATGCTCTAAAAACCAATGTATGAATGTCTATTTATATACGAAAAGAGGAAAGTAAAGGAAAAAGCACAGTATTTGTTATCTAGATAAGAATCTAACTAGTATGAGGCAAGAAACAAACGAATCACATTTGAAGGAAAAAAAGAAGAAAAAAAAGGAATTATTCATTTTCAATGTAGGTATTTGCTACAAGCGCATGCAGAAATCAACAGACTCTTTCTACAAATGGTGCAATTACTGCATCTCGACATTACCAAGAAAAGAAATAATCATCAGACAAAGAGAATTCTACAGTAGAATATTTCAAAATCAACTGTTGGTTGAGGAGAATGCGAATAGCACTAAGTTATTGAAAAGAGTATGCATCTTGAATCTAAATATTGCAGAAATCAGCAAACAAATGAGGATCACATTTCGATCCTGCATAGAAAGATCGCTCTTTGTGGTTGTTCGATAAAAAATGTAGTTTGAATGAATAAGAAAAAGAGGTCATGAGTAGTGATGGTGATGTTAGGTGTCATTATTTCAAATTTCTCTTTTGTTGATGAATGATAAACCATCACTTTCGGACCTCCGTATAGAATCCGAATGGAGCAGTGTGTTATATTGCAACGAATTTCATATGGTGCAATACTCATTCGTCAGAACGGCGAACAGAAAAGAAAAAATACCATAAAGATAAGTATGGGAATATTCCAAATGTGAGATTCGAAAATCTGCTATAGAAATAGAATAGCAGTGCATATGTGTGTGCTTCATCAATGAGCTCAAGCGTGGATCTCGATGAAGATAGATGGTTTAGTTCCACGAGCGATAGTTGATGTATATTCAATTTGTGAGTTGGTCATCTCTCTCCTAGATAAACTTCTGTCTGAAGTATGAAAGAGACGAAATCCAGTCTATTTGAGTATTAGATGAAAGATGATAGTGACAGTACTCTTCTTTGAATTGGCATTGGTAGAGCAGTGATAATAAAATCTATCATTTCTGTTGTTTTTGTCAATTAAATCAAATCAATACGAGTGTGCAAAAATGTTTTGTCATTAGAACAGATGATTTCAAGATTCATTCTTTCGTGAAATGATTCACCAAAAGTCTTCTCTAAACAGAATTATGGAAAATGTTTCCAATCCACAGTTGGTTTATATTTGTTGTTAGTTGTGTATTTTCATTCTTTTTATTATTTCTTTATTCAGCATGAAACTCTTTATTCAAACAATTCAAAAAAAAACTTCTGGAGACTATCGAGACTTTCATCATTAACAATCTGTGGGGAAACATGTTGTTTATGATCATGCTCAGGTATCATCGAAGATCAACACTGTATATTAAATCATATGTATTCCAGTGTTTCAGGACAAAATCACTTAGGCGTATGTTCAGCTTGCGGTTAGGCATAACTTCAACTAAGGTATAACGAGCTCTTTTAATTCTGGACAAATATCTTCACCAGGTTACTCTTATGACCGTTCAAATGTACAGCAAAATCCGGCCAGATTCGCTCTTCTACTGCCTAGTGTGATTTCAACATTGGTTCCAAGGATAATATTTTAATGATACTTATCGACATTCTGACTCGAATAGGTTGAAATGAACATCGTAATTGTTTTCTGTTGGGTTTAATTATGTTTTACACGATGAAAATTTGCTTTTCTGTCTTATTATTGATAAAGTTTATTAAAAAATAGAAATCTGTTTTTAAGTGTTATTTCTATTGAAGGTTCATTCTCATTCAATTTAATTCTATATACATTTAAATATCAACTTCAACATTTCGTGTTTTTGATTAAACGAAGTAGAAAAGATATGTTAGCGTCGGAATAATCAGTGAGTCAAGCACGAGCTGCTAAAAATCGATGATTTCGTCCATAAAGTTCATATGCGTTCTTGTAAAAACATTTATTTCTTGAAAAACTCTGTAAGAATAAAGAAGTTCAGCAGAAAAAGTGTTTGTATTGCTAAAACGTAACTTCATCAAGAGAAGTATCACCATCAACTATCGAATATAATGCTTGGTGCATTCAAAATGTCCAGTCATTTTTCGTACCAGTTCGGAAGCGAGATGCAGAGGCAGCGTCCGAGCCAGGGTAAGTAAGACCCTTAGACATAAGATTTAAAAGAACAGCTGACAATTCACCATCATCATCATTACCCTCAATTCTACACTCATAGGCGCCATTAGGAAGACGACGATTGATACACTCAACTAGTAATTATCTAAGAGTTAGTTTATCTAGGGTAGAAATAACATAACTCTCATGTTTAGTATGTCAAAAAAATGAATGTGCAGAGGAACTTCTTATTTCAAAAGATGTCCGATGTGCTGTCATCAGACCTCCTTTTCGTGCTTCAATTTGTTTCGATTAACACACGTACGAACCTTATCAAGTATTTGCACAAACATGCTGAAGAACGATGACTTTTTATATTAAACTGGTTAAGAACCAACGGATACGCGCATCAAAGATAAAATTTTGGAGTTCTGTGTGTGACATTCGCATTAATAAATTTTGTGGTAGAAAAGAAAGGTATGTTGAAAGAATTTGTGATAGGAATATGTATTATTCAGATGTTCTATTACTGCACATAACTTTGAATAATTTTATAAAGAAAAGACTTTTCCAGGTTAGAGAAGAGTGCTTTATTTAGATACCAGCTGGATTTTATTTGAAGATTACTAAGAAAAACTCGTATATTTTGAACAATCAACTACGAAAACTATACGAAAAACATCGGTTGATCCTGCTGTTTAACTTGTGCAGAATCATTATGTGTAATCAGTGAAATTGTCGTGTTTTGTCCTATTAGATCATCATCATCATCAACTTCATTTGATTGTATATCTGATATACTACTCGTCTTTACAACAACATCGGACACAGCAGCAGAGAATTTTGCAGAACTATATAATTCTTCATTCTTCTTTTGTATTTTTTCAATAGGAAGATTGGAAATCATTCGACAGTAAGTAATATGTCCTAAACCTAAACATCCCACAATTGCACAGGGTATTAATATCGCTTTATCATGTAACCATTCATGAGCGAACCAACCAACAATAGCACCAAACAGAAAAGATAAGTATAGAGGTACTAAGATTTTTAATTTCCACAAGTTTTTACGAGTTCGCTTGTGAAAAACAGCTTGTCCAAGAATAAGTCCAATGTCTGTCATTGTTCCTGTTACATGTGTCGTACGAATAACAGCACCTGAATACGTCGTACACATACCATTTTGTAGTCCAAATCCCAAACATACTAAATATGCACTCGGTGATAATGCTT